TACAGCTTTGTGCTGGCTTTCTTGCCAACGCTGGCTTTGAACTGTGAACCTCAGATCTCAGCCTCCTGAATAGTTAGGATTATAGGCGAGAGCTACCGGTGCCCAGCTGGAGTTTAACCCAGTGAATGCTTCATTCAGTTACAGAGGAAATAAATAATGAAAGTCTGGTCTGCAGCCCACAGTGCCAGGCGTTTGGTGGACACTCCCAGAGCAAGCTCGTCATCCAGAAGCGCATGTAGCAGCGTTACCTCCACCTGCCTTCTCATAGGCCAGGGCTGCAGGCCTGCCTACCAACGACGCAGCATCTTGGCTCAGGTGAACTTTTACTCCCAGGTTCATCTGTAATACGTCTCAGGTTAGGGAACTCTGGGGGATAATTTAACTTTATACTTCTGAAATGTTGGTCTTCAGTTTTATTGTTTGCCTGCCCACCTGAAGGCAAGCAAGAGAGTCAAATGTAATTTCCTTATGCAGAGCCTTGAAGGTAAAAGCTGTGCAGCCTTGTGCCGTGTGCCATTGTGTGAGGGCTGGTCTAAATCACATTCTTTTAGCAAGGTGTGAATACTCTTGCAGACACACATGCATTCCTAGTGACTGGCAAGGGTCCTGGGCAGTGGAGAGTGACCAGGTCGCCACTAGCCCAGTACTCGGTGGCCGTGGCCAGCACCGAAGCCCTGAATTCAATCCACAGTCATGGCACAGAAATCTCCGGAAAGCATTGCTTCCCCAGTGGTCTGTGAGTAGGTCGATGCCCGGGTCTCTCACTGTTGTGGCGGCGGCTGTGATGGAATTGTTGCCCCAGTTTCTTTCTCGCTTGGTCATTGCTGGCAAAGCTACAGATTTGGAACACTGATTTTGCATCCTGCAACCTTTCCAACGGTATCGTATTCATTCAAATGTATTTGAAACTTTATAGACTACGGAGCTAGTGAGTCGTCTTTCATAATTTACCATTGTGAGCTATCTCATCAACCACACTCATCCGATGCCAACTAGGGGCCTCCAAATCATCCAGGCCTGGGGTATTTTCCAGTGAACTCTGATACAGTGGCTCCTGTTTTCCCGCAAATGAGAGCAAACAATAAACATGAAAGATGGTATTTTAAAAACTCTGTATTCAATTATTCACACCAAAGGATATCCATTAAAATTATGAACATTTCTAAATATATTCATGTATCATACATATATATACTTTATATGTATAATTACATATCAACAAGAGATTTCTTGCTGCCCAAAGCATATAAGAAAAACAATGGCAGGCTGGGCCTGGACGCCTGTCTATGCATATATACTTGCTGCTGGAATGATGCATTTATTTACAACTTGTCGGGTAGGTTATAATAAATGAGTACTGCTCTATTATACAAACATAACAGGAAAGGTTTTTGTAAAATACAAAGACTGCAAATGAATACATGAAAAATTACACACATGTACATTATTTATAGTTTATAAATGCAAAGTTAAGACCTTTAAGTTATTGCACTTGCGCATTATACAAAGAGTTTTGATGTCATACATATAAAACCAGTTTTTGGGATTTATTCTCTCTCTGATCAACTACAATGAAGTTGGAGTTGGACACTGTTAACGCAAAAGTCTTTCCCCTTCTAAAAGAGCGCTTTGGATGCAGACCCGTGGCTGAGTACTGACTTCCACAGCACAGACCCTGTAGTGCAGTCCTGCAGGTTTCATTTGGCAAGGAGGTTATCACCAGCAAACTCCTACATGCCGTGGTCCGTGCCCCTGTAGGGAAAGCCGCCTCTTCTCAGAAGGAAGCAGGATTCTGTCATTTGTACAGATTTTGGTGAGTGTTTCACAGTGTTTTGGGCAAGCACAGAACTTCAGAAAGGCGGGGAAGTCATAGAGAAATGTCACCTATGGATAAATCTATTTTGCTTTCGCTTCGTGCACTAAATGAACATGTGGCATACACATCATACAATAAATCATATGGAAAATAACACTCCCACATCACTGACAGCGGTCATTCATGGAATACCACAGGACTGGGGATTAGAGGATTAAGTTACAAACCAGTGGTGGCAATGCCCGTGACTGGGTGATATTTTGGATGAGATAATACAGTTTTAAAACTTAATTTACATTAGGAATAAAAATGTGTCACGTTTCTGTAAACACATAGTACCGCGTAATTACTAGCTGCACATTCAACATACACAGCAATTTCTGCACTGGGCTCTAGACTCAGCCTTAAGCTTGTATCTTGGTCCTTGGGCGACGATCGTGCTGTGCTCCAAAAGCAGAGTCAGGCATGGGCCTGCAGGCAACAGGCAGGGCCTCTCACATTTGGGAAAGGCAGCCGACGCTGTCCAGCCTTAAATTCAGGGTTGTGGCACTTCCTTGGATTTGAAATGCATTTTCCTTGGGGAACAAATATCTTTGTCTTTGTTCCACTTTTCTAACTTGGAACACGAATACCACTGAACTTCTTTCATTCTATGTTTATCATTACACAAAAATGCATCTAATGCTTCAGGCAATCAAACTATCCAGGATTTTTTTAAACAACCACCACCAAAAAAAAAAAGATAACAAAAAATGCACGTACTGCATTGGGTAGCACTAATTTAAACTTAGTATAAATGTTTAAAGAAGTCAGCAAAATGTGTATCCTGATAAATTCTTACACACATGTGCAAGTATAGCCACCATGCGCTGACAAGCATAGGAAACAATGGCCACAGGGCATGTGCAGCTAACTTCAAGTTTACAGTGGTATTTAAGTCAGACTATTACTAGCAATAGAAGGAGCCCACTAAAGCAACTTAAATGAATATAGTCTTTAAACAGTTACACCCTAACTGAAATCAGCGAAGTGTAGAAAGCAAACACAGATTTGAATATCTACCTAAAGAAAGAAGTAATTTTCAAAATCGTTATCATGCTCATGTACCTGAAACGCAACCAAACCACGTCGTTGCCATCTGTGCCACAGTTTGTGGAAAAGACAATCTACTGACCCCTTGGTTGGCCGCAGTGTCATCAAACAAAGAACAGGAGTACGAGGAGGGGGACAGCCCTGGTTCCTCATCTAGCCGCCAGCCATGTGCTCCCTGCAACGCTCTCCATGGTATTTAAGCAAGAAGAGCGAAAACTATGAGTAAGACTGAAGTCAGACTTCAGATTTTAAAATAAAGGCACAGGCCAAGGCATGGCAAATAATTTAGTTCTATTAAAGCTCAAACCTTAATTTTGAGTTAAACGATGAGAAACACAATACCCCAAAAGCCAAACTTAGGAAACAAACAAGGAAAGACCCCAGGTACCTAAGGTTTTATGTATCTGTGTGCCCTGTACAAGTGTATCTGGTGCACACAGATGCACCAACACAGCCAATTCACTGAGATTGTACCAAAAAAAAGTTAAAGCATGCAAAAAAGAGGAAACCTACACCGAACCTGTCTTTCTCTGTCTTAGTCTGCTGTTACTGTTGGAAGAGTCATGGGGAACCCCTCCTGTAGCCCCCAAGAGGAGCCAGGCGTGGGCACGGGGTGGCCTGGCTTTCCGCTGGGTCTCTCTTCCTCACATAGAGATGAGAAATACACCGCAGCCCCGCCCTCATCAAAGGAACCATTTAAACAGTTGTCACATTACTAATTCAGTTAACTACTGATTGATGCGATTCCTCCATTTTTTTTTTTAGGATTGCATCCTCTGCCCGAGTTCTAAATTTCATGTTGTTGTTGGCACCATTTATGTTTCCAAGAGCATTCTAGCTAAAAATATATTTGCTGTATTGGCCAAGATAATGGATAAAATGCCTGTACCTATAGATCTTGTCTATGATAAATGAACACAGCTAGTCATCAAGTTGACATGCACAGGGAAGATTTAACCTAGTGTGAAATGTCACCTTAGTGGGAAATTCATCAAAACCTGGGTAATAAAAACCAACTAGCCTCTGGTATAGCACTGTCCTTTTAAGACAAAACCTAAGAAAAAAGATGAGGCAGAATGCATTTGTCTGCTGAATATTTTCCAGAATACAAAAATATTTATGACTGCATGTTTTCCAAAACAAATTGTGAACTAAGTATCCCCACATCCTGGGCCTTTTAAGGAAAACCCGTGCTCCCTACGTGAATCCTGCACTGGTAAAACCACTGAGACTGAAGCATTTTACCCTCGCATCCTGGCCTTTGTTCACTGTGCTTCTATCTCGATATAGTTCAGAAGAAACCAACCAACCGGTAGAGCCACACACACACTCTTTCAGGAAAGAGCTCAGCGATTGTACACAATATGCTTTGGGACAAAAGTTACGTCACATTCTTGTCAGAACAGCAGCCTTTAGTGCAGAGCTGGTGGTTCCACTCCCACGACTGTTTTCTACTCCATGAAAATCATTTTGATGAAACAATCTTTAAAAATACCCCCCACCCCTCCTATGATTCAGCTTCCAGGTTAAATTAGAAGACGGAGTTAACTTTCATGATTGATAGAAGCTATGTTTGGTGCATTTTTGCAAGGAAAATATTAAAAATTTCCAAATTCAATCCTAGGGACACAGGGGCGAGCGACACTGGTGGTCCGCCCGGCCCAGGAACCAATAGGCTCAGGGAATGGGCGGAATGTTTATATTTCATGTATGCTTAATTCTCCCTCCTGTCTCACCTTGTATCATATATATACATACATGTGTGTCTACATACATATGAGGGTACATCCTATATACGCTTGCGTCTACATACATTACATACATACATGTGTGCGGGCCTGGGCAGTGGTGTTCTCTCTTCACCTCCGGTCTCTGAACAGCAGCTGGAGCTCCTCGAGGCATGGCGGCAACTTTACACGCCCGCAGTGAAAGTGAACACGTGGTGTTAATCTAAATAACAATCAGCTTCCGGGGCAGCCAACTCTGCTACCACATAAATAAGCTGGGCCTGACTCCGGTCTGAGAAACCAAAGCCACGTGAGCTTGCGAACGGCTGAGTGCGTGCGACGCGCTGAAGAATCACTTAAAATACCGCTGCCTGCTCCTGCTGACGCTAGTGAGCGGGCGCCGCGCTCGGTGCGGGAGGCGGCCTCCTCCCCGCGGCAGGAGGCCGCAGCAGTGTCTTGCACACAGGAACGTTCCGTGGTAGCATTAGGGATGGGGTCTGGCCCGGGGCAGGGTGGGTGGGCAGCGACACGGACACTGGTGGCCCCGCGGTCTCCCTCCGACGGCTCCGCAGGCCTGCGACACACGGCTGGGCGAGGATGAGAGTCCGGTGAGAGCAGGCCGCGCGGCCAGAGAGAGGTTAGAGGACCACGACCTCCGCTCGCTGCCATTCGATTGCACGGGGAACACGCGGCGTCGGGAGTGTGAGACATTGCCGTGACAGAGGGCACACAAGGGAACTCCTGCTCCAACGTCACCCTTCCTCCACAGGGCGGGGGGAGGGGGCTCCTGAGCCTGGGGTCGAGTTCTGTGTGGGGCAGGAGAGGCCGCGGCCAGGACAGCCAACGGCGCGCGGCGCGGGGCTCCAGCTTCATCTCCAGGGGCCGGGATCCCGGGGCCCGACGTGAACCCCAAGAACCGGTCCCGCTCTGCCTGGCGTCCCGAGGCTGTGGGACTGACGGATGGACAGATGGACGGACGGACTCACGCCCTCCGTGGGCTCAGCTCCGCGCGGGTCCGGGTGGCCCGGTTTATAACCAGCGCCATCGCGGCCACACGCCGGCCTCGGGGACGCTGGCCGGGGGACTGGGCGCTGGGGGGGGGGAGGGTTGCTGGGTGAGGGGTCACTGCAACGAGGGGGTCTCTGGGTCGGGGGGTCACTGGGTGGAGGGGTCGCTGGGTCGGGGTCACTGGGGGGGCACTGGGTCTGGCCGGCCACCAACAGGCCGGGCAGTGTCAAGGCTCCACAGGCAGAGTCTGAGCCCCGGTCGCAGGTGTGGATAAAGTCGGGAAGCGCGGGGCGGCGGGGCCGCCGGGGTCCCGAGTGAGGTCAGCCGGGGTCGGCGGGGCGGCCGGGGTCCGTGAGGTCGGCGGGGTCGGCCGGGGCCCCGGGTGGGGTCGGCGGGGTGGCTGGGGTCCCGGGTGAGGTCGGCCGGGGTCGGCGGGGCGGCTGGGGTCCGTGAGGTCGGCGGGGTAGGCGAGCCGGGTGGGTCGGCGGGGCCGGCGGGCGGCCTCAGTCGTCCATCTTCCCCGGAGGCCTCTCGCTCTCGGCCGGGCCGGGCCCCGCAGGGGCGGGCGGGGCGGAGATCCACAGCGCGCTCTCCTCGCCTCGGATCACCTTCTCCCATTGGCTCAGGTTGTTCCTGGGGGAGCACGGCAGGTGAGGGGGAGGAGGGAGGGAGGGAGGAGGAGGGGGAGGGAGGGTGGGGCCTGCGGGGGCTGGGAGGGGGAGGAGGGAGGGGCCTGCGGGGCTGGGAGGGGGAGGAGGGAGGGAGGGGGAGGGGGAGGGAGGGCGGGGCCTGCGGGGCTGGGAGGGGGAGGAGGGAGGGAGGGAGGGGGAGGGGGAGGGAGGGCGGGGCCTGCGGGGCTGGGAGGGGGAGGGGGGAGGGGGAGGGGGAGGGAGGGCGGGGCCTGCGGGGCTGGGAGGGGGAGGAGGGAGGGCGGGGCCTGCGGGGCTGGGAGGGGGAGGAGGGAGGGAGGGGGAGGGAGGGGTGGGGGAGGGGGAAGGAGGGGGGGCCTGCGGGGCTGGGAGGGGGAGGGCGCCCCAGGGCTGAGGCCGCTGCCCCCCCCTCCCCCGCTAGGGCGGAGCAGGGATCCAAGCCACTGCAGAGGCGCTGATCTGGGGCGAGGCGGGGGGCCAGGCCCCCCTGCCTGGGGGACGCTCATCCTGAGCCCGGCCGCCAGCTCCCTGCCTGCTCTGGTGTGGGGTCAGCGCGTGAGAGCTGCCCTCATGCAGAAGCCCCGAGGCTCTCTGCTTTCCTGCACACACTCAGCTCTCCCAACACCTCTCAGGCTGACCAAGTCACCGGACTTTAGCCTTCTCCCTCCTCCATCAGGAAACACAGGAAGTCTAGACAGAAGTTCCTAAAACAACTCAGAAACCGTGTATAGTCACATGGGCCACACCATGCAACGCTCCGGGGCCCCACGGCCTTCCTGGCACCGATTCGGGGCTCACTGGACCCCAACAGCACTTGCAGATTTCTAAGTGAGTCAGACTACAAAGGCCATCGGATCACGGGTCCGGCCCCACACTCCAGGGGAACAGTCAGAGCTGCCACACCGTGCGTGGAGCAGGTAGACTCCCAGATGGGAGGAAACCGAGGACGCTGGGGTTTGTTTAAGTCCCAGGTCTGGACTTAGGTTGCTCTTTACTGTGCACACACTTTTGCAGCCTGGCCTGCACTCAATATCACCAAATTCGAATGAACAAAACACCAAGTCAGGTCCGGGAAGGCCAACACGATGCACTGCGGTGTTCTGAGCAAAGGGACTGGGCCAGGCCGCTGCACAGCAAGGTCCTGCCTCCACCAGCAGCAGCCAGTTCAGTCAACCCCAGAGGGACTGGGGGAGAGGAGGACCCTGAAGCTGGGCAGGTAGTGCGTGGAAGGAGGGGCACACTTACCAAGGGTTACGTATGTGCCTCCCCACCCAAGCTCCCCCTCCCACATGACCTGTGTGCAGCCGAACCCCTTCTCCTCACCTGCCCTCACAGAACACAGGCCAGACCTGTGAGCACCAGCAGAGGCTCCCTGAGTGCTGTTGGGGTGGGGGCTGGGGATAGGCCCGCCCAGGGTCTGGAGCCCTGCCACACCACACACACCTGCTCCGGTGCCTGTGCACAAGCACTAGTGCACGCCTTCCTCATGGAAAGCCAGCTCAGGCCCGCGGTGAACAGGTCTAAGAAGGGAAGGAACCCCAGCCCAGCACGGTCCCTGAAGAGCCCCTGCAGCTCAGCCTGCCCTGCCCTACGTGTTGTCAGATACGCCAGAGTAATGTGCACAAGCACTGGATCGTGTAGGCGCTCCTCTGAAGAGGTCCGGACTGAGCGGACCCCGGAGGCTCTCAGGAGGCTGGTCAGCAGGGCTACTGAACCCACCCCATTATAAACTGTGGGTAACGTGACGGGAGTGAAAACACCCACGGACTTGGCTGTGTGCACACATGCGTGTGATTAAGTGACAATCGAGCTGGAAGCACTTCCGTACCTGCACGCTTTCAGGAGAGGCTCAGTCGGAGGGAGGATCTGGGTGAGGGTGGTGTAGCAGGGAATGGCTACGGCATTGTAGAATCCAAGCTACCGCAGTGTTAGAAACAAGAGAAAAAATAGTCCATTAGTGATTTTAATTGTATCTAAAATTTCTGCTTCTGAAGACTGACTAGAAAATTAAGTCTTCTAGTTCTGTGTTTTATATATGTGTGTGTGTATTTATATGTGTATATATATATATTTGACCTCAATGAAAACTATTGTTGAATATGATTTAAAATGAATCTTAGAAACAAGACATATAACACGATGGAATTCTATGCTTCCATCAGCAAGAATGGCACTGCACCATTTGTAAGGAAATGGAAAGACTTGGAAACATTTGTATTAAGCGATGTAAGCCAGATCCAAAGAAACATAGGCTGCATGGTTTCCCTCACTTGTAATGATTAGATGTGACTATAAATCTACAAGTAAACCCAATGGATAGTAAAAGAAAATTACTCTAAACACTCCAAACAATGACACAGTGAAACCGAAGAGGTATATTCTTAGGAGCGGATCACAAAGGCTCATAGCTATGCACATACAATCATATGAAATAAAGCCTATGAAATGAACTCCAACATGAGGTTTTATTGTACTGTTCACAGTTCTTTTTTCCCCCGTCTTCTGTTTTTACCCTTCTGTTGCTGTTTTTGATTTCTGTGCCCTTTGTCTTGTACGTTAAGTTTACCTGATTTGGGGAGGGGAAAGGCAAGCACAGAAATGGAGGGACAAAGGGTGAACCAATCCAGCAGTGACACTCACTAAACACTAGGCTGAAAATGAACTCTACCACAGAGAAAATGAGGGAGGGGCGGTGCTGTTAAAAAATGTCACTGCCTGACAAATAACTGTAACCCTCTGCATATCACCTTTATAAAAAAAGTTAAAAGAAAATGCATAAAATATGTGTTCCAGATTAGCCCTAAACTCATGACTTCTGAGGCTCAGTCTCAAAGTGCTGGAATTACAAATGCACACCACCACTTTCGGCTCATTTTTAACTTTACAGCTTGTACAAAGTTATTCTATTTTTTAGCAGATGTCACGAGGTAGAAAAATCTCACAAATGAGCCTGCTTATTATAAAAAATGTTTCACTGCAACAAATAGTAAGTTCATAATATCCATCAAGTTAGAAGTAGAATTTAGGAACTCAAAGTATCAAAACTCTTGTAAAATGAGCGATTTTCTCATTACAATACTAGAAGAGATGCGGTTGTGGTGTGACAGCATCCGTGAGACACCGGGTCTCCTACACGTGTGGGGTGAATGTTTTAACTATTTGGAAGAAGGAATTGTTAGAGACCTCTATTAAAGCATGTAACAAGATGAACTGGCATGAATTAACAGTAAAATGTCAAGAACTGAAACAAGAGACGTGCATGTGGATGCCTGCCGCACGGAAAGCAGCTCCACGCGCGACAGGGAGAGCTAGCTGTCCTCACTGACGCGCCTTGAGCGCCCACCCCTGCTCAGACATCACGAGACGTGCGCTGCGCACTCGTGGGACTGGGTGTGGGGGGAGGAGAGCATCCACACCTGGCCTTGCGGGACTTCATCCCTCTTGTCTCTGTCCATCATGGGGATGGGCTGGATCCCCAGCTTCTTCATCTCATCACCCTAGAATAAAGCAGAGGGACAGAATGGTTCTTTCTCACATTGTGAATAGTCATGAGTGCTGTGGTAGCAATAAACATTCCTTTTACTCAGTGAGTTTCTTTGAAAACAATCCTGTTTCAGGTTACACAGTGTCCCAGGAGACACAAGCAATGGACACGCAGCGGCATCGCTCTGTGTTGTGCCTGGAGTTCTGCCTTGAACACGCGGGCACCGCCACCGTCCAGACTGCCCTGAAGCAACAGTAAAAGTTGCATCTCGAAGAGGCGCAGGAGTGAACACACACGGAGGACCTCACCCTTCTTTTCTAAGTGATTCTTCCTGAGTGTGGAATGGGCCCAAGTGGGCAGAGCGGAGAGGACGGGTGGCCTACCGAGGCCTGGCAGCCAGGGCGGCCACCAGGACCCAACCTCCGGTCCACGCTGCAGGAGCAGCTCAGGACCCGCGAGCTGGCACGATCTTCTGAGATGGACGCATCTCCCCAGTTTATGCATTTAAAAATCAGCTCTTCTTATCTGTCGCAGCTAGTTAAACTCTCCTTCCTGAACGTTCTCAACTCTCCACTCTTCGTTCACATGCATTATGTTACCAATTTTAATGGTGCTTATTTGCAGGAATCTTAAGTATAGACAGAAAACTTCCGGGATTTGTTAGGAACAGGACACAAAGGTGCTTGTTTATCCTAACTGTGTCAGGCAGTTAAAACACATAGCTTCCGCTTCATTGTCATTTTGGTAATGAATTTTTGGTTCCCAAAGATTTTCTTTTCTACCTCAAGTGGATGAAACCTATTGAGTCACTGCTGTGCCACGCATGGTGATAAGTCCTATCCCCAGGTGACCAGGAGAATCCCCACGCATGTCCCCAGGTGACCAGGAGAATCCCCACGCATGTCCCCAGGTGACCAGGAGAATCCCCACGCATGTCCCCAGGTGACCAGGAGAATCCCCACGCATGTCCCCAGGTGACCAGGAGAATCCCCACGCATGTCCACGCAAGGTGACAAGTCCCGCCCTGTCCCCAGCTGACCATGAGAATCCCCACACCTGTCCCCAGGTGACCAGGAGAATCCCCACGCATGTCCACGCAAGGTGACAAGTCCCGCCCTGTCCCCAGCTGACCATGAGAATCCCCACACCTGTCCCCAGGTGACCAGGAGAATCCCCACGCATGTCCACACACGGTGACAAGTCCTGTCCCCAGCTGACAAGGAGGAGGAAGCAGTAGAACCACAGTTCACAGGTGACCTACGTAAGTGCCCTTCATCCCATTTGGCTGACCACAGTTCTCAGAAACAAAAAACAGCAACAGGAGTGACTAAGATTTTAGGCAAATTATCCACATTCCACTTCTCCTTGAATGTTTTCCCATGTCTTGGCATTATCTAGGAGAATGTAAGACTCAACGACGTACCTCGGCCCAGAACTCTGCGTAGATATCATTTGCCGTCAGTTTTGTAACCGGCCACAGTTTGGTCACAGAGCAAAGATCACAGGCAGTCATCATCAAACCAATTACACGGTCTCTAGAACATAATAAAAGACCCGTCAGAGCAGCATTTGCACGCTAGAATAAGGATTAGGAGCTCTGTACTTTGTGAAGTGAGGTTTTCCTAGTATTTCCTGACAGGAAAATGTAGCATTCAAACAGAAATAGGAGCAGCAAGATGGTAAAACGCAGTTAGAGTAGCGTGGCTTGAACTGGGAGAGGCGACGGGTGGGGTGATCCAGCAGGTGAATGCACCCTCCCAGGAGCCGCCAGCAGGATGTGCATCCTGGAGAGCACCAAACCTGCTCTGCGGAGTCTTCAAGAGAACATGGTGGTGTTCCCACCTGAATTACAGCTACCTGAGTGGAGATGGGTGGGGAGGGGACTGTAGGAACTGGAGGCAGAGCCAAGCAGCAATATGGTAAAATCCATAGGAGCTCCAAGGGCTCAGGCCCCCCTGCCTGTGCCCCCCGCACCCCCCCCCGCCCCTGCCCACCCCGTCTCTGCTGCATGGCACGCTGCTGCACGCTGCTGCACGCCGCGGGCTGTCTCACAGGTACGGACACTTGGATCTGAGAGGTGAGGCCCTCTCTGCTCCTTCCTCCTCCACAGAGCCATACACAGGGTCAGGTCAGGAAGCCAGGGCCCCTGCAGGTCAGTCAGTTCACTATGGGTGGGCCGGGCCTGGGCCCACCGCAGAGAGGTCAGGCCGAGAGGAAGCCAGGCAGAGCGCGTGGGCTGAGGCTCAGGATGGCGGTCATTTGTGTGAATCTGGCGCCACCGTCAGGGGGTCAGAGCAGCTGTCTGGCGTCAAGGTCACCCCTCCTGGACCACAGAGACCCTGGCGGTGTGTCCTGGCCTTCTACATGTGAACTGACAAGTTCCACCAGGAAAAACGACGACAAAACAGCCCAACTGTAGGCACGGTGATCCCTGACAGAAAAACAAGGCCCAAACAGAACATAACCCCTCACACAAGCTCAAAGTACCACAGCGCGAGGCTTGGGGGGATTCAGAGAAAATCTGTCTGGACACTAAGATGAAAGTTGATTAAGTTCAGAGAAAGATAACACAGCTTATTATCGACAGTACAGTACACAAAAATAAAAAACCTACTGTGCCTATAAGAAATGATAAAATGGTCTATGGAGAAGTCAGTCAAGAAAATAAAATACTAGAGAAGCCATGTTATGGAATTAAAGAGAAAAATGTCTAAACAGCTGAATATTGAAGAAAGACTAGAAGCTATGGAGATGAGCCAGAAAGAGAGCGAAATTCTACTATTTGTAAAGAAATGGAAAGGCCTGAAAAGTGCTAATGTGCGGGAAGTAAGCCAGGCCAGAGGGACAAAGGACACATGTTTTTCTTTCTTGGTAGAAACTACAGTTAGCTTATAAGCTTGTAAGTAAATACGTTGGGTGGTATGCAGTGGAAATACAGGAGACTCAAGGGAGATCTCAGATAGTATAATTCCTTAGAAAGCCAAAATCAAAGTTCGGCAAAATAATACACCAGGAAGCAGGTACTTGAGAGGGAGGGGATGGGGTCAAAGGATGGACACATGAAGAGAAGGGGGAGGGGAAGCAGTCCAGACTCCAATGTCTACTCTACAAAATGAAGAAGAGGGAGGGAAGCGTGGGGAGGGGAGGCATCGGTGAGAATACTGGAAGGAATGACACTGATCAAAATATAGTCATAAACTGCCTTGTTAAATGGCAACTCCTTTGTACAACTACGTGAAGATAATTTAAAAATATAAAATCTAAAAAGTACATGAAAAAAGAAATCCCCAAACTGAAAGTTCTATGCATATAAGTGTGGGATGAATAATAGACTGGACAGACAGTCCAGTGAAAAGATGAAATTAAGTCACAACAAATTGTACCCAAAGGCACAGAGAGAAAAAACACTGAAAAAAAATACATAGAATTCGAATAATCTGCAGCACAGAATCAGGTGACCTAATGCTTGTGCTAATTGGAGTCTAAGAAAAAAGACCCAGTGGGACACATATTTGAAGAAAAGTACTGGTTGAGGGCTGGGAAGGTGCCTCAGTGGTAGAGTGCTGGCCTAGCATGTAGAAGTCCTGGGTCTGATTCCTCAGTACCACATACACAGAAAAAGCCAGAAGTTGTGCTGTGGCTCAAGTGGTACAGTTCTAGCCTTGAACAAAAGAAGCTCAGGGACAGTGTCCAGGCCCTGAGTTCAAGCCCCAGGAGTGGTTAAAAAAAAATGTACGGGTTGATTTGGACTTGGTTGGGATCAGAGTTTGTTTGTTCTTCTAAAGTTGAATTCATTCTGATGGCAAAGCCCTGTTTCTAAAGGTCAGTTTGACGTCTGTCTGGCATCCCAGCTAACGATTAAGATTAGCTTGTAAAGAAAGTGCCAAACCAACCCAGATGCCCCTCAATAGATGAATGGATCAAGAAAATGTGGTATATATACACAATGGAATTCTATGCCTCCATCAGAAAGAATGACATTGCCCCATTTGTTAGGAAATGGAAAGGCTTGGAAAAAATTATATTAAGTGAAGTAAGCCAGGCCCAAAGAAACATAGGTCCCATGGTTTCCCTTATTTGCAATATCTAGTATAGGTATGAGTCAAGCGGAAAAAGTCAGAGAAGGTGATGTTAGGAAAACGAACCCTCAAATATGTATTTTAATGTTTTTGTTTCTTTCATGCATGTGTTTCTAACGCATTTATAAGATTATTTCTTGGTTGCTTTGTATGTCCCTCCCCCACAGTGTAACCCCTGCTTTCACTATATTTGATGTCAGTATAACATGTGGAGGAGATGGGGACAAACAAGTCGTTTAAGGATTCAGGTGGACCTGTTGCAACAATGAGAAGTACAAAATGTCATGTCAAAACCAGCTTTACAATGTCGGAGGGGGGGAGGGGGGGTATGACTGGGTGGGGGGGAGGGGGGAGGCTGGGAAGGGAGGTGAAGGGTAAACAAAGGAGGAGGCTGCAATGCTTGGTAAGAAATGTATGCATTATCCTGACCATGTAATTGTAACCCCTCTGTACAGTATGTTCTCAAATAAAATAAAATAAAATTAAAAAAAAAAAAAAAAAAAAAAGAAAGTGCCAATATTTCGTGTGGCAATAAAAGCCACAGTCGTTTTTGCTTTTGCACTTTGGATGCTGAATTTTCCCATGAAACAGTCACATCTAGGTAAATGTGACTTTTCTTCTGTCAAATTATTCCCAATATCTGTAAAAATGGTTTTCTTCTGTAGAATGTTTCTGACTTACATTGACCTTTGTCTGTAAGACTCATATTTGGAATAATATTTGGAGAAAAGTAAATAGCTTTTCCACAAAAAAAAATGTACTGGTTGAAACTTTACCAAATCTCACTGGAAAGGCGCAGGGGCCACGGAGGTGGACCCTCAGCGTCCAGCAGGATGAATGACTGCACAGCCGTACCAGACCCACCCACTCCACACGTGGAAAGGAAGATGGAAAAGAGGAGGCCTGGCAACACTGGAAGAGCATCTGCTATAGCGCAGTCCAGAGAGAATGCCTTTAAGATGTGATGCCAAAATAAAGGCATTTTCAGATTTTTTTAAAGCCCTAAAGAATCTGTTACCACACATTTTAGGAAATATTAAAGGCAGCTCTTTGGCTTTGAAGAAATGACAACAGGTAGAAATCCTGATTTACCCTGATTAATGAGAAGCCCTGAAACAGCATACATGTGAAAAGACAAGAAATATTATTTTTCCTTCTTTTCTTAAATTATTTAGTAATCAATTGATAATTTAAAATATTTATCTATATGAAATGAATACTACACCAAATGCTTCAAAATACCACAACTAGCCGGGCGCCGGTGGCTCACACCTGTAATCCTAGCTACTCAGGAGGCTGAGATCTGAGGATCAGAGTTCAAAGCCAGCCCGGGCAGTAAAGTCCGTGAGACTCTTATCTCCAATAAACCTCCAGAAAACCCGAAGTGGCGCTATGGCTCAAGTGGTAGAATGCTTGCCTTGAGCTGAAGAGCTGAGCGCCCAGGCCCAGAGTATAACCAACATGAATAAATAAACAAACAAATAAATACCACAACTGCATAGCAATGAATCTCCATTAATTCTGGGTGGATGGCAAACAGTACGTATGCTGTGGGTCAAGAGTAACCAGTTGAGGGCTGGGAAGGCATGCGAGATGAATTCCGACATGCTGCAGTCGGGGCCGGTGGCGCAGAAGCCAGCCGAAGGGAGAGGACTGACATGCAGACGGTGGGCAGTGTCACAGTGCGCACCTGCCGTACTCTGAGTCTATCAGGCAAGACACCATGGTGGTGGAGAAAAGCACCAGACGGCTTTAGCCTGATGCCACGGGACCATGTGCGCTTATGAGCAAACTTGTGATTGCCAGCAGCTTTCGAAATGATCTAAGCACACAAAGATGCTAATGTCCTGGTCCTTTTGTTACATCTATGTAGATCAATAGAGCAGAATTCCAGCTGGATATGTTAGTCACGTTAGCTCGGGGAGTGGGATTTAGATTCTGAACTTACACATGGATTCATCCACTGACCTTAGAGGATACTGTCTACAATTTTACCAAAAAAATGAAACGTCTGAAGTATACATAAAATGAAATAAAACAGAAAACAAGTTATTTTCATATGTTCCTGTTATGTATAAATGTATGCCAAGATACATTTCATCCTCTAAATGTCCATTGATCCTCATACCCTTCCCAGGCTCCTCACCTGTGAGCTTCTGCTCACCTGTGGGACTGGTTGTGCAGATTCAGTGACCCCGTCTGGTGCATCTCTTCCAACTGCTTCCGGTTCCCGAAGTAGAGGGCGAGGTCAGTGGCGATGATGGCTTTGCGGATGATCTCGAGAACCTGTTCGTACTCACTGGAGCTCAGCGCGGAGAAGATGTTGTGTCCTTCAAGCTGTGGAGATACCGATGAGACCACCAGCAGTGAGCTTGAGCTCTATCATCAGGGGCGTCTAACAGTCTCGTCAGCAGGGCTTTTCTATACCAGTCGTGAGTTTTAAAAGAGTAGTTTGAAATGACTGTGGCATTTTCAAACTGACGTTAAATAAACAATTTTAACCATAGATGTATCACTTGTTGCCACAAAACCCAACACCTTAAATATACTTCATTTTGAATATTTCTTACAGTAATGGGACTGCAAAGTAGAAAATATTAAGTTACTGAGTTTCCCTGGTACACTAATAACTCCGTGTGCCTAGGAAGCATGTACATCCTTGTCTCCCTCAGGCGGCATCTTCAATAATCACCTTCTAGCAGCTGGGAAGTCTTCAGGGTGTGCATGGGAACCAGGGGTGCCAGCAGGACTGGCAGCCAGGGGGAGCCTCAGGGGGGGGCAGGGCAGGGAGACCTTCTTTTCTCCTGACTGAGCTGAGAAAAATCACTATCTTCCCAGTGTCTAACAGGTGCTGTTAAACAAAGTGCTCAACCAACATGCTTTCATTGCACTGAACTTCAAGGACAATTAGAAGAAGAATCTGAACACAAAGTCAGAGCAGGATCCTGAGCACACCAGGGTAGCTTGAGAGCATAGCTGCATGCTGCCCACCAGGACTGGGTGCCAGGCTAAGAGACTGGGCATCATGTATGGTACCAGGCCAAGGGACTGTGTGCCAGGCTAGGGGACGATGTGTCAGGCTAGGGGACTGGACCAGGCACCAGGCTAGGAGACTGTGCGCCAGGCGGTGTGGCTGGGAGACCAGCCACGGCCTGGAGTACCTCTCCAGCACAGACGTGGAGGAGGGCTTTAATCAATGTGGCACATGCATTCATTGTAAACCCGCAGTGTGTCTCACCTGAGTGGCTAGCAGCATCAAGCGCCGCCTCCTGGTGTCCCACCTCGCCCTGTGTTTGGTACTCACCCTCTCTAGAGAGAACAAATCTGTCCTTACTGTCCTCTCACCAGTGATGGGAATGACACCTCTAGCAGCGATCTCTCTTCTCCTAACACTTCTCTAGAGGCCAGCGGAATGCCTGTTTGAACGTAGTCTACTGTCAAGAGCGGTGACCTGTCTCCAGCATTTTAGGAACACCTCGGCAAGGCTTAGAGGATTTACAATAGAGGGAGGCACCCTGACTCCACTCCACGGCAGCACGCCTCGGCCTGTGGCGTGAAGGCAGTCTGCACACATACCACCACCTTGCTCGAAGTGCTGTGTTCCAGACTACTTCTTACTCTACTTCTGTGACAATCTACCTCAAAATGAATTATATTGAAAATAAGTCCCCCAAGGCACTTGACAAAAGCTGTTACTATCTGTCTGCAGACTGACGTGGTAGGACTGAATGACAGCCAGATGTCCGCATTCATTTACGGGACAGCATGTTCAGTGAGTCGATACTGAAGGCATCGGGGGCCACTGCTGGCCTCTGTCCTGCAAGCTGTACAAACAGTGAGCGTGGCCCACTAGCTGCAAACTATCGTAAGGATGATAACGGTCATCTATCCACAAAAGAGTGAGCATGTGTGAGTGTGTGCGTGCTGCCCTTGCTCCAGCAAACATGGATGCCATGCAGACACTGTCCTTCAAAACAGAAAGGACTGGTGGCTACTCACAGCCTCCAGAGACAGAGAGAGCCTGACAGCAAGTGCAGCCCCCATAGCTCGGCAGGGGCTGTGGCAGCGAGCCAGGCCACGGTACATGGCAGCCATGAGCACAACCGTGGCACGCAGGCAGCCGTGAGACCAGCCACGGCACGCGGTGGCCATGAGCACGGCCATGGCACACAGGCATCAGTGAGACAGGTCTCGGCACGCGGTGGCCATGAGGATGGCGTGGCACGCAGGTGGCCGTGAGCCTGGCCGTGGCAGGAGGGCAGCCATGAGCCTGGCCGTGGCAAGAGGGCAGCCGTGAGCCTGGCCGTGGCAGGCGGGCAGCTGCGAGCCTGTCTGTCGTAGGTGGGTGGCCGTGAGCCTGGCCGCGGCAGGCGGGTGGCCGTGAGCCTGGCTGTGGCAGCCGTGAGCCTGGCTGTGGCAGCCATGAGCCTGGCTGTGGCAGCCGTGAGCCTGGCCGTGGCAGGCGGGCAGCCGTGAGCCTGGCTGTGGCAGCCGTGAGCCTGGTCGTGGCAGGCGGGCAGCCTGGGCCTCACCTGCAGGATGGACACCGTCTGGGAAAAGTGGTGCTGCTCCATTGTGGAGGTGGAGTAGAGTGCAGCCAGCGGGTGGTCGAACTTCTGCAGGTAGCTGTTGCTGAAGCCTCTGTGGTCCAGGTCATGGCACAGACAGGCAATGAGCAGCCCTTTGCGCTGGAAGAGCACAGCGGAGTGTTCAAGACAGAGAAGCAAGAGGAGAACCCTGGGCCCACAGACAGCCCACACCGACATGGGCCGCTCTCCTACCAGCACCCTGGGGAGGCTGACATTTCAGGTAATCTAACTTTCTCTCTAACCCCTTTCTTTTTTTTCTGTACACAGGCTGGACCATCCAATCATTCCTGTGTTGTCCACTGCAGGTGCCAGATGCCCACAGCATTTCAGACAAAGCTGACCTGCGCAAGGAGAGGGCAGCGCCCAGTTAATCTCAACGGCACCATCGCCAAGGGGTGCTTCGAGAGATGGGCGGGGCTCACAGAGTCTGAGCAGGGCTCAGAAGAGGAAGGCCAGCCCTGAGCCACAGCAGGAGAGGAAGACGGGTTTGTCTGCAGAGTACCTGTCTTGTACCCTGTCAGAAGATTTAGGCTCAGCTTCTGGAGACATTTTGATGAGGTCCAAAGGTCTATAGCTACAGTTCTAATGGAATGAATATACTAAACAAATGCCTGAGTGTGAAAACCCCGGGATAATGTGTCATCAACCCATCCACATCACAAGCATGCTGGGGCAGGGAGCTAACGCGCACCCACTGCGCTTCTGCGGGGCCAGAGGCAGAGTGCGCGTGGCGCTCACCTCCAGGTCTGTGAAGAGCTCGTAGTTGTTCTGAAGTATGGCATACATGCAGTGCGCCACGGTGACCGCGTGCTTCCAGTTGTGGTACGGGACGCGCCGGTAGTTCTTCTTCACAGACATGATAAATCGACACAATTTTTCGAGGTCAAAGCTGTGTAGAGGAAACAATTATGGCTGAAGCCAGCGGAGCCAGAGTCCAGGCCCTCTGGTTGGGGTGCACGGTGTCTGTGCTTGCTCACGCACTGGCCGCAGGGCAGAGCCCAAGTCCTGCCACCTCACTCTTTCTCAATCAAGCCCCAAAGAAGTGAGAGAGCTTTGGATAGCCTCCATCCTAACGTGCCGCTGTCCCTCCATGGAGGAAGTGCCAGCATCAGCAGAGACACCTGCCATCAATCTCTGGGGCCTCTGTGACTTGGGCTTACAAGAAGCCTCTGTGCCCCGCATGCTCAAAAGGCTACAGAAGTATCCGCATCCACCCAAGGGTACTCAGATTCTGAACTAAGATCTTCCAAAGAGCACAATTGACTCATAAACTATGAGACATCTATCAGGAACGTTTTCTAAAAATGAGTTATTACTCAAAGTTAATTTACATTGTTAAGTGGCAAATGCCCATATCCAAATATTGACATATGAAAGAGTGACATAAACTTTAACTATCATCACTCTATTTGATTTTGCATATTTATATTTCATGACTTTATTCATAGTTGGGATCCTTACCATCTCTCAAAATAGATTTAAGGCAGCCTAAAACAACAGCCAATATACAAAGGAGCTCCTTGAAATAGTAAGGAGACCCATAGCTCACAGAAATTTTAAAAACTATGTAACTTGTGTTTTCCTCCATTGAAAATCTCCAGATCCTTGAAGTAAAATGGGTAAGGCATCTTACGAGTTTGAGCTGGCCAAACTATTAACTGACACCTACAAAATAACCAGAGCTAGTCATCTGTAGGGCGCCTTTCAAGATGGAGGTTTATACTCATGGATGAAAAGAAAAGACAGATTTTAAGTTCTAGAGAAAATAAGAGACTATAAAGCATTGGATGACTAAATGATGGTTTTTTTCAAGCCAAAGAAAACCATTCTGGGAATTTGAAATGTGTGTCTTTAATATATCACACATAACATCACAAACTCCTTGAAGACTGGTCAAAGTGGATGGAGAAAAAGTTTTAACCAATGGAGCTATAGTGACTGACAAAGGATCATACTATTTGAGGAAACTCAAATAGTATGAAAAAACTCACTACGTAGTTTTTTCTGGCCCCAAGGTCATGATTCTCCTGCTCAGCTGCCTGAGTGCTGACAAGGCATTATCCTTTGAAGTAGGAGAGTTTTCTTCTATAACTAATCTAACAGATACCAAGTGTAAGTTAGAAGTTAATGCTGTATGTATATTATAACATCTAAATACAGTTTCTTTCTTTTCTGGACTGGAGATTGAACTCAGGGCCTAGAACTTGCCAGGAAGGCACTCTGCCAGCTGAACCACACCTAAACCCTTTGTGCTTTATGTTTGAGGTAGGACCTCGTCTTGGGTTTTACCAGGCTGGCCTCAAACCCCAGTGACTGGATTTATAGGCCTGCGCCACCACTTCTGGCTTTCAATACATGACTTAAAATATGCACTTCTGCTCAGTGCTACGTCTGGCCGTGCTCCAGCTCTGACTCCTCCTGGGTGCTGGTTTGAACAGGGCACAAGCACACTGCCAGAGTGCAATATACCTGTAGGGAGGCTGAAAAGGCTGCCGATGTACCCAATAATAACCCTGCCCTTTTTCTGACCATTTAGAATACAGATCAGAGGTGGCAAAATGGAAGGTAACTACAAGCACAGAGAGCGGTGTGATAGGCATCTCAGTAGGAGGAGGAGGAGGAGGTCATGGCACCAAAAATGAAGCAGGAAATTCTTAGGCCATTCATACCAAGATGTCCCACAGGACCGGTGAATCATATAGACAAAAATCCCTGGCCACATATTTTCAAAAGGACCAATGTCAAAGTGGAATCTGAAATTAAAAGAGAATAATTCAGCATTCGATACAACTAGGATAAACATTACCAGTAAAAATCATTTAACTTTTTGTCTCCCAAGAAACTAAGAAGACACCAGGATTTCCCTCTTCCCTTTCTTAGTCATATCTGCCAGTACTAAAGATTTCAGGAGATTCCATGTTTCCCCAGGAATTTAGCAAGGCACCGATTTTTTCTACTAAACAATCTGGTTTTACCAGACTTGTAAAAATGTACAGTACTATTCATGTTACTATATAGCTCATAAATAGGAGGAACCTTACCAGATAAATTTTTCTATCCTATTTTAAATAAAATAGAAATCTCAAAAGTATAATTAACCTGCTATTATATCCATATCATTTTATTTACTAATTGATTTACTAATTAATCACTATGCTTCAGCTGTAATAAACAGTCTGGGAAATAGTACATATTTCCCAATCGTTTCTGAAGATTCCCTATGCAGATGAGAGCACTCAGGCTTGCACTTACTGCGGACATTCAAGTCCCCCCATACCCTACCATCCTCGGAAAACAAGAGGTGAACATTGAACTAATCACTCCCAGATTCTTGAATGTAACATGGAATTTTAAATTAGAACAGAAGTAAGATTTTGTAAAAGTGATACGAAATACCATTTGCTTATTTAAAGGCATGTAGAAGGCAACAGCAGGATCAAAAATGCTAACACTCAGCTTGTCTCACTTCAAAACCAGGTTCAGCTTTTGTTTGTGGGTACTCTAGAGGAGGCAGTGGCAGCACGCGGACGGAACTCCGGAACTCCGCGTGTGGCGTGTCAGCAGAACTCCCTGGCCCACCCGCACCCGCTTTACGTCACCGACATTACAGCCAGCGGAGCACTCACAGCTCGATCTCCTTGCAGAGCTGCACGGGCAGGGTGAAGCGCATGAGGCCCTGCCACTCCTCCGCTGTGCAGATGCTGTGGTAGGACAGCTTCTCCATGGTCACCCGGTAGATGCACTCCGAGTGGCGAATCCTGTGATACATCTGGAAGGCCGAGGAAAAGGGACTGCATTAATGAAAGCCCTCATGGCTTGAATTTTTAATCTGAATGAACGTTTTCAGTAACTGCATCTTCCTATGTGTGAGTGATGTTAATATTTTATTATAAAATATAAACAAAAAATAGAAGACCGGGTAAAACAATTTGAGAATTTTATCAAAAAGACAGTTTTGTTTTCATTTAACAAAAGTGTTTTTAAATAGAAGCACTATAATATAATGCTTTATTATCTGTAGAACTATTTAATATTTTGTGAAATAGTACCTGAAGGTCTGGACAGTTTGATTTCTTTTCTACACTTAAACTTTGAGTGATATCACTTGAGAAAGATAGACTCAAAAGTCACAAGTATGTGAATCTTTGCAAAGTAGCACTGGTTGTTTTCACCATAGTTACAGTTTTATTTCTTAATAACTACTAATACATTTGGTTGAAATTCACATAAATTTCTATTTACCTTTATGTCAATCAGTTGATCCTATAGACTAATCAGTTTTATATCTAATCAAACTGGGCTTCAAATCAAGAAAACTAAAACTGCCCATGAAGATTCATTATCGCCCTTCCAAATTAAAAAAAATTTATTAAAAAACTCAGTTTCAGGTGGGAAGAGATGGAAGGGGAATGAACTGGAACAAGGAGAGGATAAGTTGAAAGCTGGTATTTTTACACTGAAACTTGAAACATGAGTAACCTTAACATGAAGATTAGAAGGCAAAGATCGTCAGATAGAATATAAAAGCATGACCCAAATATATACTGCTTCTAAGAGCTTTTTAAAAATAGAAGAACACACACATGTCAAAGGATGGAACAGAAACAGCATTTACCACCAGTAAAAAAAAAATGGCTTTATCAATATCAGGTAGATTTCAGATCACAGACTTATTACTGGGGGAGGGGGGAATTGTATGAATGACAGAGGGATCAGATCATTAAGAGACACAGCAATCTAGATGCCATGCAGCCAATGGGACAGTTTCAAAACATGTGAAGCAAAGACTGAGAACACAGATGCATAATGAATTCCAAGTTTCAATACCACTGCACCCTTAGAATAGCCCTTGCAACAAAGCAATCAAACTACAACCCTAATAGACATTTCTAGAGGAAATAAAAAAAGGACCCAGGATACTCACAATAACTCTGAAGATAGCAAATAAACATGGAGAAATTTTACTACCTAAAATAAATACTTAAAAAAGTAACCTAACAGTGTGGCTCTTGTTATCAATAACATAAATAGACCAACAACATAGTATATAGAGTGCACACACACACACACACACACACACACACACACAAATAAATACACACACATGCTTAGTTGGTTTTCAACAAGGACACAAAGGCAAAAGGTAGAGCAATGTTAAGTGTATGCCACAAACAGTTCTGGAAGAGTTAAGCCCCCAAATGTAAAGAAACAAGTTTTGAGCATTCTTGTACCATATGCAAATTTTGACTCCAAATGGGCAGACCAAGTGTAAAACCTAAAACTATAAAACTTCCAGAAGAAAACAGAGGAGAAAGTCTTTGTGACATGGAAACATTCTGCTTCAATACAATGTTCTCAGCAAGACAATAAAAGTTGGGCAGTCGAACTTCTTTAGAATAAAACCTTTGTTCTTAGTCAAGAGATGAGAATGAAAGACAGGCCAAAGAGCACAAGCCCATTTGTGTACTAGGCCTTCACATGGGTCCGAGGAGATAAAGTCTCTGTATACACAGATTGGTTCATAAGACAATTGTTCAGAATAGCTGAACATGGAAATCACTAGAGTGCTCATTGAGGAGTATATAGATAATTTATGGTCTAACCATGCAACTCTGTACTGGCAAGTACACAGAATACTAGTCAGGAAGTTCAACAGTCAACAGGATCGATTCCAGATTTACTGCAATTCTGTATTACCTGTGACTCATTCTAGTTCTATGGTCAAGCTACTGGTAAAAGTAAATGTCATACTACTGAGAAATCTGTAGCAAGTAGTAGGGGAAGTGTAAATCTACAAGACTCCTATAAAGTTTACTCTATAAAATAACTAACTTCTGTAAAAATAATTAATTTTGGCAAGTTTTATAATATTCCTATTTACTATGAGTTTTAATACTAATGGCAGACTATGAAATTTTAGCCATTAGAAAGAATACGATTATGTCACTTGCAGGGAAATGGAAGTGAAGTAAGCCAAGCTCAGAAAGACACAAACGTCCCATGTTTCCTCCCCTCTGTGGAACAGATCTAAATTTCACCGAGATATGATCAATCACACAGAGGCTCACAGTGCGCTCAGAGGAGGCCATGCTTAGGGGAAGACACAAAGGCACCGTGCCTCTGGCCGTTTAAACCAGTGTTTATTGAAACCAACTCCAGGAAATGAAAATTAGGATTTTTCTCTTTTGTGTTCTGTTTTCTTCTCTTTTTGTCTTATTTGCTTATGTCTTTGGGAGGACAAGGGAGAGCACGGAAATGGAGGGACAAAGGTGAACAAATGCAGAGTGCTACTTCCTGGACATGGAAAACAAACTACACCTTGTGGGAGGGGGTTGGAGGGAAAGCTGGAAGAGAGTGGGAGAAGGCATGACACTGCCCCCAGAGAAATGTACTCATCACCTGCCTACGTAACGTAACCCCCTGAACCTTACCTTTACAATAATAAAAACAGAAAATGATTTAGGATTATTAATAAACAATCATTTCAAGTTACTAATGAAACTGAAACATTAGGTTTTTTTTACTGTAAATTACTAATGTTACAGAAGACTATGCTGCCTTTTACGTTTGTTTTGCATTCCTTTATTTCCCTCTGACAACTGGTAGGAAAAGATCTGTGGCCGTGGCTGCGTAACAAAGGAGCTGGCAAAGCAGCCCACCTCTGCGTCCCCTCTCCCACTCTGTCGCCCCACAGCCCGTCTCCCTCCCCCAGCGGTCCCCCTCCCTTTCTGCCAGCCCTCCTCCCGCTCCCTCCCTCTCTGGCCTCTGCCCCCCACCCCCGCCTCCCTCCCCTGTCCTCCCCTGCCTGGTCCCCCACCTTGCCTCAGCCCTGGGATGGATGTGGGCGAAGTCCCCACCCACTGAGGTTGTGGAAACTAGGAGCCACCATGAGCAACTGTGGTTCCGAAAGGAAGGCTGCTGACACAGTACAGCAATTCCAAATCCCAAAATTAACGCAAACCACAGCTGAGACCAGAACCATGGAAGCTGGGGTACGCGAGCAGAGACCTCCATCTCACGGCACGATTACTGCAAAATGAACTGGGCAAGTAAATGAATGGACCTTCAAACTTCAACAAGAGATCGGCACAAAGAAGGTTCAACACATCCGCAGCCACTAAGCAGCAGGCTGATAAAAAAGAGTTACTGAGAGATTAACGTTCTACACCGCTGCTCCGTGACTCCTGGAACTACCGTCTTTGCCCCTGTATTAACTGGGTTGATTTGTTTTGAAGGTTTCGTTTTTGAGCTGCTTGTATGTTCTGGTTAGTAAGATCTGGTTGGCTGTATAGCGGTGAAGCAGTTACCTATGTCCCTGAGCCAGCTGAGTGTGTGTGGGACACTATCCCTCGGGACCATAGTAGACTACAAAGCTAAAGACATCCTCAGTCTAGCACCTCATCCACAGTGAACACTGAGTCTTCCTGTCTTTGCTTTTTACTCTGTTTAGTCATGAGATTGTATTTTATAGATTATTACAGTCAGTTTTACCAAATACTACGTCACCATTAAATGTATAGCCAGCCACTTTAATATTTCCAAAGGCTAAACTGCCCTGGATTGAGATTGGAGTTTGCCTCATTTACGTATTGGACAATTCTAGTTAAAAAGTTCTAGTTCTAATTTATGGAACACAAAAGGTTGGAAAGTAACAGAGAGGTTGTTTAAAAGCAATCTGCCTGGTAACAAGTTTGAGCTGTGCATGGCACCCAGCATGCTCTGGTGAACTCAAGAGTGGAAGGACAGAAAGTTCTGAGAGGGCAGAGGGCAGAGGGCAGAGGGCAGAGTTCCAAGTGCTTCAGCTGCCTTACAGCATTTCATGCACTTCGGGGAATGATGCCTTTTAAATAACCAAAGCATGGAAAATGGCCCTGTTCATTGTCAGGGACTTTTTAAATGCCTGTATACAAACATGACACTTTAAATCACCCACTTTTTAGGATTTAATCTTCCTCTCTCCCCTACCCCCCCTCCTCTCTCTGTCTCTCTTCCTCTTCCCCTCCTCTCTGCCCCCTCTTTTTTCCTTCCCTCCTTCTCCCCTCTTTCTCGCTCTCTATCCTCTATCACTTTATAAAGAGACAAACTCTCTGCATTTTACACACAAAACTTTAAAACTCTTCTTAATATGTATCTGCCTATACACAACAATACAAAAAGCTGTCAAATGAAGGGCAGTACCTGGAGCGCTCCAGGGCCATTCTAGCTATGTGGCCTGGGAATACTACACTCTCTGTAGAGATCATTATAACCTCATTTTCAGGACTGTTGTGAGACTGAGTTTTTATACAAAAGGATCCACAACAATGCCTCATATACAGTAAAGCATTCTTATCAAGTAACAGATGTTCTCTCTCTTTTTTTGGGGGGGGGGGGTCCGGTCGTGGGGCCTGAACTCTGGGCCTGGGCGCTGTCCCTCAGCTCTTCAGCTCAAGGCTAGCGCTCTACCGCTTGAGCCACAGTGCCACTTCCGGCTTTTTTCCTTTTGCTTATGTGGTGCTGAGGAATCGAACCCAGGGCCTCAGGCATGCAAGGCAAGCGCTCTACCACTGAGCCACCTTCCCAGCCCACAGATGTTCTCTTGATAATGATTTTTCTATCTCCCACTCATATGTGGTTGCTGTCTTTAAGAATGAATGAAAATTGAACCACTTATGGGTCAACTGGGGTCATCTGTACATCCCTCTTCAGTACCGAATGGCTTCCTGGTCAGATGGCATGGAGCTAACCTGCCCTAAAGAACTCCAGAGGTGGAACTGGTATGACTATACTGTTGGCTTCTTACTAAGTGTTCCCTTAAAACCGAAATATACATGAGTGAACTACTGACTCTTTTAATCTTCCTAAATGGTTACTTTCCCAAACATGAGTTATCTGAGCAAATGAAATGCAAGATGTTGTCAATCAAGAAACATGTCCATTTAATTGGATAAAAGATAAAGATATAATTAATGTTCCAATGGCCAATTTGTCCTGACTCTCAGGACCATTTTCTCATATTTTATTGTTATTATTAAGGTGTTGTAGAGGCCTGTTAATCAAACAAGATCCACACTATAAAACACCATCACATTATCTTATTAGTGTATTAACACGATATTAAGAAAAAAACCTGGGGCTGGGAAGGTGGCTCAGTGGTAGAGCGCTTGCCTTGCATGCCTGAGGCCCTGGGTTCGATTTCTCAGCACCACATAAGCAAAAAGAAAAAAGCCGGAAGTGGCACTGTGGCTCAAGTGGTAGAGCACTAGCCTTGAGCTGAAGAGCTGAGGGACAGTGCCCAGGCCCAGAGTTCAGGCCCCACAACTGGACCAAAAAAAAAAGAAAAAAGAAAAAATCTGTTCAAGATGGGAAGATCCAGCAATTACGGGCACTTTTACTGCATAAAGCTTTCTCATATTAATGAGTATTCATAAATACTCATGTATGTTTTCCAGAAAGAAACAGAACTTTCAATGAAGAACAGCAAACCTTAAAGGTTGTTTAGTGAGCTGCTTGGGGCAATGCCTTCAGCAAGGAACTTCTCCTAGTGAAAAGATGCTCGAAGCACCAAATCAAATTTGTTCCAAAAGCCAGGTGAGCTCTCAGCGCAGCCTCCACCGGGGTCCCGGGCTGCTGGCTGGAGCGGTGGGCTGGTCACTGAGCTGGGCTCCGGGGCCTGGGCTCTCCAGAGCAGCACTACTGTTGTGAGGAGGGGTGCCAAGGGTCAGTCCCCACCCCTGAACCTTCTTCTAAGTGCCACATCCAAGTAATCACTGCAAAGGCAAGCCTGGCTGCCGTGTGCCTTCCCAAAGCAGCACAGCACTTTCTGTTTGGGCTTTACGGATGGATGTTTCAATGCAGGGTTTTTTGTTATGTGACAATTAGTTGGCTGAAAAACTTCTGAACTCACAAGCTATAGTTCCTAAAAACAGTTGTGTTTAAGCTGATATTTATGTGTTCTTACACATGAAACTGAATGTTCAACTCATTTAAATTACAACCATATAAGAGACAAAGCATACATCCCAGCATTTTAAGGTGGATTTCAGAATACAAGTTAAACAGAGGAGGACCGTGAGCATGAAGGATTTAATGTAGTGATAGCCCCACAAGTTATGGAAGCAGAGCGACCTTCTCTTCACATCAAACCCCCTGTAGAGCACCAAACGCTGGCTGCTACTATCACTTCATGCAAGACTCTCAGGTTCAGCACACTGGAACAAACATGAAAGGCTTAGATAACATCTTCTCCTCATTACATACGAAATGTTAAGTCCTATGCTTAAAACTTGTACCTGTGCATTCATTTCAATTTTCTTTTAATCAGATTCATGCCTTAAAATAATTGCAGAGTCTCAGGCATTCGTTAGTCCCAAGACATTTTCTAGAACGTGGAAGAACAGTTTGCCAAGGAAATGCACGTGAAAGAGAACATGAAGTGACTCAAAGGCTTTGCGTTAACCCTGAGAAGCAGCCTTGCACTCACATTTGCACAGTGCAGGGCCAGCGCACAGAAGACAGCAAACATCTTGAAGTTGTTCTCGTCCGTCTTGGAGAAGGCACTGCCGCTGATCTTGTTCACCATCTGCACCACGCCGATCACGCTGCCGCGGCTGACGATGGGCATGCACAGGATGTTCCGCGTGGTGTAGCCTGTGTACAAGTCCACCTCTCTGGGCAGCGTGGGCGCACGGAGCAGCGGCCGTGAACAGAGCAAGAGGAAGGAAAGAAAGGACGCTTGCCATCAGACCGGAGTTCAGCTCTGCAGCGCACGGCCCCAAGCTCAGATAGCTCATCTAAACCCAGGGACAACATGACACTGGCAAGCAAGCATCAAAACCGTTCCAAAGATATCTAACTTGGTTGCTTTCACTCAATCATGTTTCTAAGACAGGCTCTACAGGGGGCTTATCGCTCAGCACTGGGTTTTCAGTGTTCTGGATGACAACAATAAAAAAAAAAAGTAGATTCAAAGTAAAAAGTTGGCAATATGGCATATTTCATTAACTCTGGTGATATTTGTTAGATATATAACTTGATAAAAGCAATTTAAATATAGTTTCCCCATCAAAATTTAGAGCAGGGGTCAGCAGACAACACTCCTTAGGCCAAATCAACTCATCCTTGTACATTAAAAATAAAGCTTGAATGAGGCACAGCCACACTACTCGTTTATATGACCTGTGACACTGATTATATGACAATAAAGCCAAAAATGCTTACTAGCGTTTTTCAGTAAGTTCTGTGAATTGAGTTCCACAGAAGCAGCCACTCAGCTATGACATGGGAATATTAGGTAGCTTCAGGTGGCCTTCTGTGTCTCATTAGCACACTGCTCTTGAGATTGCCCGGGCTGTGGTAAAGGCTGCCCTTCAGCTCTTCAGCCTGTGGCACTCTGAGCCGTTGTCTCTCTCCCCAGGAGAAGCATCACTGTTCACTATATACTCCCCATCAACCCACAGTATTCTTTGTCCACATGGGTGCTCACTCTAAGTACCCTGCTTTGAAGACCTGCACAAGAGTTTTGTGCTGACCGGCTAGTAATCATCCAGCAGACCGAGGGACCACGCAGACAGGAATGGCTGAATTTTCCAGAAACCGCTCAACTGTCTTCCTAGGGCATGGACCACAACCTCCCACCTACTTCCCTACATTCTGGCCAACTCTTGCTGATGCCAATTCTGAATCTCTCAGTGGTAGAGAGTGACATTACCCTTTCTTTTTTCATGTATTTAACAGTTTGATGTATATTTTCTTTGTGAAATGTCTGTTTAAATCTTCTTTTGTAAAATGTCTGTTAAACTCTTCTGCCCTTTTAACTGAATTTGGTATCTTAATTATATTGAAAAAGTTTTTTATATATTCTAGACACATTTTATCACTTATATGTGTTGCAAAAGTTTTCTTCCAATCTTCATATTACCTTTTCATTTTCTTAATAGTCTGAATCACACATTTTACATAAATATTGTAATAAGAATATACAAATTATTTGCACTATTTAAACAGTGAAAGATAATTCTGTTTGGGGAAAATGACAATTTTAGAATCTCTTATTAATTTATTGATAAAAATACCTGCTGGATGGCAGTGGCTCACGCCTATAATCCTAGCTACTCAGGAGGCTGAGATCTGAGGATCTCGGTTCAAAGCCAGCCTGGGCAGGAAAGTCCGTGAGACTCTTATCTCCAATAAACCACTAGAAAACCAGAAGTGGCGCTGTGGCTCAAGTGGTAGAGCACTTGCCTTGAGCTGAAGAGCACAAGGACAGCATTCAGGCCCAGAGTTCAAGCCCCATGACCGACAAAAAAAAAATCTTACTAGACCATAGCTGGAATCATATATGAATGAGGCATACTTGATGCTGGTCAATTAATTACCTGATAAAAACTTCCAGTTGTTTATATAATTTTTCTCTCAAAACAAATCAAATGTATGTACTTACTAAGCATTGTTGACAAAATATATGAAATATCATTCTCTAACAGCCATGGTGTTTATCTCGCAACTTTCCATCTCTCGCTTTAATAAACCCAGATTATAGTTTGGTTCCTCATACTCCAAAGAAAGTCAAAATGAAGTTAAAAGTTTTTATAAACTGCCTTAATATCTAACTTTAATAATAACCAATAAAAACTGGCTGGGTGCGAGTGGCTCATGGCTGTAATCCTAGCTACTCAGGAGGCTGAGATCTGAGGATCACAGTACAAACCCAGCCTGCGCAGCAAAGTCCCCATGAGACTCCTATCGCCAATGAAACATTCAACAAAACCACAAGTGGTGCTGTGGCTCAAGGGGCAGAATGTTAGCCTTGAGCACAAAGAGGCTAAGGGGCAACACCCAGGCCCTAAGTTCAAGCCCCACACCCAACAGAATAAAATAAAATAAAATCTATGGCTTAATGGGCTCCTACTTCATGTCAGGCAGCTTTGAAACCTTTTAGGTACTGCTACACTAATTCAGGAAACTGAGGCTCCAGGGAGCTACGTAATTCACCCCAGGTCTCCCTGAGCCAATAATTGCAGAACTCGAAAATACATATTTTCAACACTCTGTTCAGCCTTTTAGTATAAAATTTGATGTAGAATTCTAATATAGTACAACAAATGAAGACCCACCACAAGAGATCCATCCATTGAAGTCCCTGTTCATTGCTCTGAACACTGTACACACTCATAGCTGGCTACAGTTACTTTCTACTAGCTTAGGAATTACTGTTTTGTAACTATCTGAATGTATGGACTGCTGGTTCACAAAAGCAAACCAAGGAGGAGATAAAAGTACCTGAGCTGGGCAATGGAAAAGTGGGGCTCCCTCCCAGAGAGGCCTTGGGCAGAGCTGGGCGTGGAGAGATGAGAGACGAGGAAGGCAGGAGCTATTTCTCACCTGTTGAAACGTGGGTCCGCATAGGCATCCGGAATGTTCAGGACTTCCCCCGTCCGTGCTACCTGGCCAGCAATTCCTTTCTCGATTGAAAATCTGCATAGATAGAAGAGGAACATGCTAGGTCAATGATCAATGCCGAAACATTTCATTACAATCACATACTGATCTGAGAAGCCTTATTTATTTTAAATGCATCTATTAACTTTACACTGACATATCCTAAATCATGCTATAAAGTATGTACTATTAAGACAGATAAACACCACACAGTGGCCACTTATGAACATTAAGGTATGACTGTCTTTTAAGATATAATCCTGAGACTTTGTTTTAGAGCATAATTGGATGCCAGCACTAGCCAACAATAATCACTTCCACTGGCAACACGCCTCAGAGTTCACAACCCACTTCCTCCTAAGTATTATTCATGGATTCTCAGTGGCCTGAGGTCAACACTGCTGAGCCAGCCATGCACAGCCAGCACTAGAGCACTGTGCCCAGCACCATGTTGTGGTGGCAGGGGCTGCATCTGAACCTACCGATGCAGGACTAAGAATTGTATGCTGTTTACAACGTGGAAATATATGGAAATATTCTGCTTTCTTAATTTGTTCACCTTTAAAACAAAACACAGCTAGTTGTTCACTGTTCATATATATATATATATATATATATATGTATGTATGTATGTATATAGTTTTATTTTAGTGGCAGTACTGGGGCTTGAACTTCCAGTCTCCGGCTCTCTCAGATTTTCTGCTCATGGCAGGCACTTTCCCACTTAAGCCTTGCCTCCACCAGCTTTAGGCTGGTTAACTGGCTATAATAGTCTTGCAGACTTCTCTGCCCAGGCTAACTTCAAACTATGATTCTCAGATCTCAGTCTCCTGAGTAGGGAGGATTCTAGGCATGAGCCGCTGGCATCTGAATTGATGCAAAGTGCACTGTGGATATCCAGTGCCAGTAAACACATTCTCACATTTATCAATACTTTTCTCACTACAATATTATCATCACGCATGCAATCATTTCAAACTTTAGTTAACATTTCTACAGCACACAATATCTATGATTTTCCAACAGTTCAAACTCGTCTTCATAGTATTGACTTTTCAATTTTATAGAAAGTAATAATTACAGAAATAAGGCTTTACTCTAAGTATTATCAAGAAAACTTAAAAGAAAATTGATACAAAAAGCATTAGAACATCAGGAAGTGAACCAAGCATTGCATAAACTCAAGGTGCTTGTGCCCCAGCTGCCCTGTGCCCTGTGGGACAGCTGGCGGCAGAGCATCTGGTCCACCCTGGATGCGGGCTTGTCTGTCGTGGTCTGGGAGCAGTCTGCTTGGGACTCTCACTCGACCCTCTGTGCTTTGCTCTCTGAGGTGCTGGAAGCCTGCAAGCGGCTCTCAACCAGCCACCTCACAGTAACCAAGTCCCCCCAGCCGCCTTTCTTAGGATTGTCAATACATGCTTTAAGTCATTGTTTTTAAAATTAAAGCAATAATAGCAGTGTTAGAAAACAATAAAACTGTAAACAAGAGACATCGGTCTGACGTACTTTGATACAAAAAATACAAACAAACTTTTAAACCTCACAGAGTCACACAGTGCCAGAGTGATATAATTGTGAAGCACAGACGTGTGAGCTTGCACCACCGGGAAGCGTGGGGCAGCAGACCAAGTCCACGCCTGCAGCCAGCCACACGGCATGTACACTTGCACGTGACCGCCTCCCTGGCACAGTGCCCACGTGCACAGCAATGACTGTTGCTGGGGTGCTGGGGTTTGAACCGAGGGCTTTAAGCTGGGACAAACTCATCAGGCCCTCGCTCCATCACATGAGCCATACCCCAGCCCTTCGGAGCTGGGATCTTGCTGTTTGCTCAGGCCGGCCTGGACTCTGGTCTTCCTATTCACGTGACCTGTCACTGCGGGGCTGACAGGCACACAGCATCATGCCCAGCTTTTGCTGTTGACATGAGGTCTTGCAGATCCCTAAGCTGGCCTGGAATTAGATCATCTTGGACCTAGTCTCCTGCCTAGTGGGGATGGCAGGCACACACCACCATGCCCTTCTATATCAGTGGACTGAGGTTTGGGGAACTGTTTGCATGAGTGGGTTCCAAACCAGGTCCTCTGGACCTCAGCTTTGTAAAGAGTCAGGATTTCAGTACAGGCTATCACGTTCAGTAAGAAGACCAGGCCTTCCGGACCTCAGCTCTGTGAACAGACAGGACTACAGCACAGGCCCTCACGTTCGGCGGGAATTCTTGGTGTGGGAGCATTGAACTAGAAATCTTTATATAGTGCATGTAGCAGAGTAAACGAGACAAGTAGGAAGAAGAAAGCAGGTATTTCAGAGGAGTTCTGGCTGAGGACGCTCAGCGGATCTGTACGTCGATAGTGCTCCTTGCAGGTTTCCAGCACTGCGCCACCGTGCCTCTACGGACAAGTGTGCCCCATCTGTCTCATCAAGAGACAACAGAGGCCACTGGCAGAGCAGAGACTTGTTTTAAGGTGCAACACACTGCATGTTGACTCCACCCACTGGCGAGTCAGCTACAATGTGCTTCAGTCAGGGAACGCACTAGATGCATTTCCTCTGTGCTCGGACCCTGAGGCAGCCATCCAGGCTGGGAAGAGGCCGGGGCCAAACTGGTTCAATTCACCCTTGCTCCCAAACATGGGAAAACCTGCAGACTCCAGGCGGAGTGCACCTTTACCTACCTGGGAGCACTAGTAAGTTTTTCCAACATGATTTCCAAAAGGACCGCCTCCGGAAGACGGCGTTTCCAGGAGTGAGGCTAACGCTTCCTGGGCGCGGTTTCGCGGGCACTGCAATGTCATTCCCAGAAGCACTACCTTCAGGAGGCGGGTCCTGGTGGGAATGATATCACAGTATGACAAGCATTGTCAGCACACCTGCGGATAGGCACAGAAAAGTGGGTAGCAACACCTGCGCCTCTGTGACAGAGCTAGGACACTGCACGCCAGCTGTACCTTATCTCTTTGGTCTTCTTGAAGATGGGTTTCCCTTCCTTTTCCTCTCCAATATCAAAAAGGTCTGAATATAACTCCTTGTTTTTATGGTCCACCTGGAAAAGGGCACAGCGGTCGGCGTTCACCAGGTTTTTTGCATATATCTAAAGACAAATGAGAGAACAGGAGCAAGCAGTGAGAAATTCAAGGCATTTACAGGTGAATCTGTGTCCAATAATTTCAGCTCTTCTATACCTGAACCAGGTAGGACATGAGCATTGTAAGCATATACATATAAATAAAATGTGACATGTATTATGTACAAATCATGTGCTAATGCTAGCATATACTGACAAGGATGTGTGAAGAGCGGGCATGCATGCACAGTTTGTGCTGCATGTTGAAATGTGTCTCTGTTGCTAAGCAGCATTCTGAACAGCCTCACTTCCTAAGAGCCCTTCATCTACTGAGCACTCAGGACTTCTAGAACCTCAGTCTGAGCTTGTATCCACAGCAAGGCCAGCAGCGTCCTGGCTACTTGGGTGTCTGGGAATAGCAACTGTGAAAAATATACGCTATAACCTCTAAGGAGACATAGTTTGATAACTGTGTTGATTTTATATGCTGTAGTGTCAGACAATCATCATAATGATCTCTAGGTATTTACCATGTGGTAAATACATTTATATATTGATGTGTACCAGGAGGTAAGCTACATCTCACTATTACAGAGCTAGTAATTAGAACTGCTACTAGCCATTTTTATAGTCCACACCTTTCTAACAAATGTACTTCCCTACTTTTAAATGGTTAACTGTGAACTCATTTCGCCTACCTAATTTGTTCATCCATTTTCTAGAACAAATATTTCTTTAATGCTTAACATATCTAACTGTCTGTATTGGACTGTGCTTACATAAATGCTCTACTAGAGTTAACTTCAGACATCCAGATCAGAGCTGTGAAATTATTCCTCAGAGGACAAGAACTAATTCTTGGAGGAGAACAGCCATGACAAAATTTATGCAAAAGCAGCACGGTCACCATGTGGGCAGGCGAAGAGTAGGAAATCACGTGTAAAATTAACTTATAGGTGGATATAACCTTTCTTCGTTGTTGTTTTTTTTCTATCAGTCATAGGGCTTGACCTCCAGGCCTGGGAACTGTCCTGAGCTCTTTAGCTCAAGGCTAGCACTCTACCATTGGAGCCATAGTGCCACTTCCGATTTTGTGGTGGTTTACTGGAGATAAGAATCTCACAGACTTTCCTGCCCAAGCTGGCTTTGAGTAGCTAGGATTATAGGCGTGAGCCACTGGCGCCTGGCTACATGTAACAGTTCTGTCCATGGGGGCTGGCCCTCCATGTTCCCATTCACCATTTGTGCTATCATATTTCCTGAGTATCTAATGTTCCTTTCCCTCATATGTGGTGATGGGAATTATAAAGCAGATGCCAGTGAGCAACCCCCCCGACTGTCTCTGGTGTCACTGAGCTCACAGCCTAGTAGGGGAGACAACATGAGTGAATCAACCCACACCCACTGAGACTGCTGCCACATTCAGAGCTGTGAAGGCGCTGAGCACAGGGCCGGAAAACTCCTCAGGCCCGAGCAGCTTTCTGGAGGCCCTGGCCCACATGGGAGGATAGTAGGGGGATGAGAAGCCAAGCAGGAAGAGTGCTTCCAGGAAGTGGCACCATCTGCTCCACCCCGTGAGCAGGCCCCTCACTCATGCCAGAGACATGTGAACTTTAAGTCTGAGGACGCAAGAGAAGTATGTGCTTTGGGGAAAGCGCACTAAGCTAGAGACCGGGGGAAGTGGGGTGTGAATGTTTTGAAAGGCCTCTGGAGTGGGTAAAACATTTATCTCCAGAGCAGCAATCGTGGTCATCTCTAGAGCCTTGGTGGCCACTTCCCCTAGCTGGGCTCTGACACTGCAGTGAAGTGGTTCGTCCTGAACAGGACGTCTCGAGCACTGCAGATGAGCTCCCGGGCCCTGGGGACTGTCCCTCTAGCACCGCACTGCCGCACTGTCACAGGAGCCGGAACCTTGGTGGGTGAGGGCTGTAGTTGCAGCCTCCACTGAGGAGACCTCTTGAAGATTACTCTATTTTGAAGTGGACTAGAACAATGGGAAGGAAAAGAGCCTTTGTCAGAGCGGACAGCGTTCCAAGCACCGTGTCCATGCGAAAGGATTCAAGACAAAAGCAAAGTCACAAGGAGGACGGCTGGAGTTCTACACCTTCCTGTGGCTTTCTGCTCAAAGTGCCCGCCAACCCTCCGCGAGAGAACAGTTGAGACTAAAACGAAATAGAATGAACTTGAAGATCAGAAGAATCAACGGCAGATCCCTAATATAACATCTACGTCCAAGGTGGCTTGGAGGATATAAAGATAAACCACAAGTCTTTTCAAAGTAAGCTGTTTTATATGAAAATTGGGATATGGTTACTCAAACTTCCTTTCCCCGAGAATCTCAACAGAAATTACAAATAGAAGGCAGTAGACTGGTAGGTATCACATTGTCGTAACGTCTAGAAGGGTTTGTCTAATTCATATGGGATGTTCCACCATAATGAGGACCATGGAATTTAAGATTAAATAAATTATTTTCACGACAAAAGGCAACTTACCATTATGTGTTCAAGTAGAGAATCTATTGCAACTATGTTATCAAAATATGTTCTGAAAGAAAGTAACATGAACCAGGTTAGGAACAGTACTTAGATCACAGTACACACTCAAGAATGTATTAGTTATATGTGCCTGCATTTAAACAACTACAGAGATATGATCTGATTTTTATCGTTTTGTGGAAACAATCACTATCATCTTAAATAAATAACATTTTATCATTGCCTTAATATTGGGGCTTTACTCTAGAGGATGCATTTAGTGATTACTAAATGAGTACTTTATTGCTCAGAACCAAAACAGAGCAAAGGTCACAACATGTAATGACACAATGCAGAACTAAAACTGGCTCCACAATACTTATTTAATCAATTTGAGGGAGGGCGGGTTTTGGGGAAGCTAGAGTTCTGGGTTTTTTTTAAGTGATTGTACAAAGGCCATTTGCCAAAGTAGTTTATGAATATAACATATCTTGACCAATTGGATTGAAATGAAAAATTGGAAAGAGTTAAAAAGCAGTTTTATTGTAAAAGTGCAATTCATTTGAGAAGTACTGTCAGATACAAGTAATGATGTGACTAATGACTATGTAAATTAAACATATTATTATTGCTATTATTATAAATGTCACCAAAAAATGAAGTAACAGCCATGTATATTACAAGAAGATGTAAAAAAGCATTCAATATGGTTCTACTGGCTATGTAAAGCTTTCAGTTTAGGCTTACATAAACTTAGCAGTGTTCTCACACTTAAGGAAACTAACAATAATGAACAATTAATTTTTAAGGGTAATTTTTAGCTTGAAATTACGGAGACTGAGAGCATCCTTCAGGGCACAGCACACTGAAGGCACCATGTAAGGAAGCCGGGAGAAGCAGGAGAGAAGCAGGAGGGCTCGGGGTGGCCTGAGGTGTTCAGCCCACTCTGGGACACTTGCAAAGTAAACAAAGTACACTGGCTAGAGATTCGCAGCTTTGCTTTCTATATGCCTTGAAGGAATATAGTCACACATCCTAGAAGACTCTTTGTTTGAAAGAAGAATTTTGACTTATGTTGTCAAAAGAGATCTTCAGCTCTACATTTCTTTATTTTTTAATTTATAAAAACAAGTAAAATGTGAACTGGCAACTCAAGAAATTATTCGTGGGGCCGGGCGCCAATAGCTCACGCCTGTAATCCTAGCTACTTAGGAGGCTGAGATCTGAGGATCGTGGTTCAAAGCCAGCCTGGGCAAGAAAGTCCGTGAAACTCTTATCTCCAATAAACCACCAGAAAACCGGAAGTGGCGCTGTGCTCAAGCGTAGAGCGCTCGCCTTGAGCTGAAGAGCTGAGGGACAGTGCTCAGGCCCACAGTTCAAGCCCCACGACTGACAAAAAAAAGAAAAAAGAAAAAAAAAGAAATTATTCATGGGAAGTCTAGTATTTGCTGGCATATAATATGAAATTCCGCTACATGGAAATGTGGGAGCTGACACCGTTACAGCTTTCACAGGGATCCAGGGTGAACACACATGTGTGGCTTCTTTAGTGACTGCTAGGAGGGAAGTTACCAAGACCCGGTGCATTTTCACGATGCAATGCTTAGCCAGGAGGATCAGCTTTACAGAAGGTCAGTCCTGGTGGCAAGCAAAACCAGTATGAACCTGAAATTTGATGAACATCTACAATTGCCTTCGTTACCAGCTCACAGGAGTTTTTCTGAGTCGAAGAAATAGAACATGTTCTCAAAGAGATATCTGAGATGCTATACACAGAAAAGTTTAAAATACTTTTCGTAATATTTAAAATTGATATTGGTAGGAAATGGTAGAGAGGACATTTGTGGGGGGAAAGTCAGAAGAATTCCTCTCCTAATGCTGTCAGAATTCTCTACCAAAACAGCTAATTAGTGTCTTCAACCCTGCTATAAGACAAGCTATTTACAAAGTCAATGTCCAAATAAAAATTAGCGTCAGCAATTTGTATCAGTAATGTTTCACTTATAAAGTGAACATGGGTGATGACCTAACTCTATAATCTGAAATATAATTAATCATTCTTCCCAAATTACTTGTATAATGAAGATTCATCTTTGGTTATTGACCACAGTGGAGACCAATCTATCACTGCCAAGGCCTGAACTTAAACAACTAATCAATAAAGTTTTCAATATCCCTAGAAATGAGACTCACTTGGATACATCCAGTAGAAAGTCATTTAGCTCCGTCTGTTTGGCAAGACCTCTGCATACCTGCCATGTAAAGTAATGGCTATTAGTGATATGGATTTCCACTTACTTGAAAATGCAAGTTCTTTCCATTAATAGCACAACCGCCTGACTTGTGTGATAATCTCAATGACTATTATCATCTGTTGAGTACATGAATATGCTAAACCCTGACTTACGCATCTGCTGTTATTACCTCATTTAATAACTACAAACTCCACAGGTTTGGGATTTAAACTTCACAGGTGAGACACGAAGCAATGGAGAAGCCTAGCAGGATCCAGGCCTCCCGCGTGTTAGACGTGGCATTCAGATATAGTCAGTCTGCCACAACTGATCACCAAAAACATTTTTGATACATTATAAGCCAAGCACTGGTGGCTCCTAGCTCCAGAAGGCTGAGACTTGGAGGATCACAGTTCAAAGTCGACTTGGGTAGAAAGATATACTTGAGGGCTGGGAAGGTGGCTCAGTGGTAGAGCGCTTGCCTTGCATGCCTGAGGCCCTGGGTTCAATTCCTTAGCACCACATAAGCAAAAAGAAAAAAACCGGAAGTGGTGCTATGGCTCAAGTGGTAGAGTGCTAGCCTTGAGCTGAAGAGCTGAGGGACAGCACCCAGGTCCAGAGTTCAGGCCCCACGACCGGACCCAAAAAAAAAGAAAGATATACTTGATTCCATCTCCAGTTAACCAACAAAATTTGGAGCTGGAGGCATGACCCAAGGGTAGCAACCCAGCAATGGGCAAGAAAGCAGAATGAAAGCATGAAGCCCTGAGCTAGAACAAGCACTTGATACTTTCAAAACTGTTGGCATATCTGCTGCCTACACTTGAGGACCGTCAAGTCCTGGCCCCCATCCTGTTATCCCACAACTCCACTTTCTTCCCGTCACATTGACTTTGCTGAAATGGAAAGGGGAGGAGAGAAGGGCTCTTAAAAAATACATGTGTGTGATTGAAATATATTGAAGACGGGAAGTAAGGGAATAAATAGGAAGGATTAAATGAATAAACATTTTAGAAATCACAAAAATTGTAGTATTTTTTTAAAAAAGCATAAAAAGTAAAAATGAAAGCAAAGCATGACCCTGCTAATAGGTCTCTACTCTGATGCCCAGTGATGCACTCGAGTAACTCTTCTTCCTTGGGAAGATGCTGTGAACACATCCCGGAGACTCACCTGCACCTGATGTATGGCGACTGAAGCCCAGGCGAGATTTGCTGTTGCAACCTAAAAAAGCAAGAAAACATACAAATATGACACACGGAAAATATTCATCAGTTACACAGCATCGCCCAAAATGAAGGTCACTGAGCTTCAGAGATCTGCAGGACACTAAGTGTCAAATAGTAATGCACGTGCTTTTTCGTTTTTTTTACCTTTCCCCTACTAATAAATGGAGCTTAAGGCTCTTGTTGTAACATAAAATGAGTACTTTCAAGTTTAACAGAAAGTCTATTTAGAAGGGCTCTAGGAGCCTGTAAGATGATGTGTTATTTCTAAGACATGAAATCCCTATGCTTGCGCTCGCTGACAAGGTCTTGCTTTGGCGACTAGCCAGCTTCTTTTACCATTTATTGTGCAGTTAACATGTATCGGCTAGGAACTAGGCACCACTCCAAGTGCTGCAGGCAGAGCAGTAAGCGCCACGGCCACACACTGGGGCCCCTTTCTGTGTGTTGTGGGGGAGAGCCACACTGAGGCCAAGTGCCGTGCGTGGTGTAAGAGGAGGCAGCGGCAGGACAGAGCACCCACGGGCATCAAGTGCACAGGGGCCCCAAGGGAAGGCACAACTCCCAAGGAGGACAGAGAGGGACAGAGCCAGGAAGCCCACACTGAGGGAGGGGCAGGGCCTCCACGGAATGAGGGACAGCCGGAACAGCACGGGGGGAGGGTCAGACAGCGGGTGGGGCCAAGCCATGCAAGAACTGGCTGAGGTGGATGTGAGACATTTTAGTATTTGCTTGGTATCTACGAGCCTACACCACTTGCATGAGCAGTGAAGGCAGCATTGCATTCCTAGCATACTGACGCCGGTATTTCATATTAGTATTTGACACTCGGTTTAGAGAAAGGACGTTTTTAAGAAGGCATGAAGACAGCCAGAATGTAGAGCTTCAAAGCCACCACACAGCTTTATTGGACTGTGTATTGTCCATATATTTTCTTACAGAAAAAAGGCTATGCTACTAATTAATCAGTTCCCTCTATAATCAGCCTCAGGAAAATGAACACTTTCTAGGCAATCATGAGTATTCACATCAAAACAATGTCATGCAAGCTTTGAGTTGTAAAGATACATGAGTCACTGAGTGTTAGCGGGCAGCACTGGGGCGCAGCACAGCCAAAGACGCTCACCTCCTGATGACTGAGACAGAAGGCCTCTTTGCCCCAGTGCCGATACAGCTCAAGGATGCCAATCAAGTCACCAATCGCAGTGACGATCGGCAAACACAGAACAGACTGGATCCGAGTTCCCGATTCCAGCCCAGTACCTCTTGGAAATCGTTCATCCTGAAAAGGTAAAGGGGAAATGCATAAATTCAGTGAGAGACACAAAATCAGTAGGGGGGCATGATGGAAAGGAAAGGGAACTGCCAGGTAGATAGGAAGAAGCACTGGACAGGACACGCCACAATAAACATGGCCCATCAGGAGACCTCTTGTTCCCATGGTGCCCAGGACGCTGCCCTGAGTTTCTGCTCAAATGTCTCTACTTCCTATAATGCACTGGGTATCTGCTCAACCAAAGGAAAGAGTTGAGATGGTGCATAGAGGAGCCAAGCCATCAAGCGATCAGAGCAAAGCCCAGGGGAGGAGACCCGGAGGGACCCTGTGCTATAAAACTGCCCGGTGAGGAGGGCTGTGGCGGCTCTGTGGGGCCCTCTCCAAACCAAGGGCCTAGCTACCCTCCTGCCTCCCTTTCAAACAAACTTGCTCTGTCTGCATGAAGAGAAAGAAGGAGAGTAACAGAATCACGTTATAGCTCCAATTCCTTTCAGAAATTTGCATGAGACTTGTCATCAATGATGAGCAGTCTTTTTCAAAAGAAAAGCAAATGATGATGGTTACATAAAAATCTTACTTAAAAATGCTTATTGTCAGCAATATAAAACCTATATTCAATTACTCTCATGTTATTTTTATCCTTGACAAGGACAAACCTGATGAATGAATGTGTATGTTCATTTTGTGTAATAATAATAAAGTCATCATAAAAGCTGACAGTTATCCATTTATCTTCCTAGCCAGACTGTCCTCAGGCTTCATAGGCATAATGAGATAATATAAATCACTCCAAATGCAAACACTACATAGAGAAAAACTGTTTATAAACATTTCTTCTTTTTCTGTTTTCAAGGTTAGAGTAACACAAAAGGGTATGTTAATAAGACTATTCTAATTGAAACCTCCAAGGTCCATGTAAGCACTCAGATTGTCTGATAACTATCAGTTATTTATTCTACGAACAGAAATTATTTTTTTTTACTTGAATCATTTTATTCCTTAGCAAAATCACTGAAAGAAAACATAGAGAAATAGACTGACTTACTATCAAAACTCCACTTCTGTTTCTTCAATGTGTACTGGCTACAGGAAGCTATCTGCCACAAATTAGTACTTTCCGTGAATCAAGAATAGTAAAAAAGGGGCTGGGAAGGTGGCCCAGTGGTAGAGCGCTTGCCTTGTATGCATGAGGCCCTGGGTTTGATTCCCCAGCACCACATAAGAAAAAAGAAAAAAAGCCGAAGTGGCGCTGTGGCTCAAGTGGTAGAGCGCTAGCCTTGAGCTGAAGAGCTGAGGGACAGCACCCAGGCCCAGAGTTCAGGCCCCATGACCAGACCCCCAAAAAAAAAAAAGAATAGTTAAAAAAAAAAAATCTATGTAATTTCCAGGCCTTTAGGAGTCTGCATGCACAAAAGAACACTCTCAAGTTAGAATATATGGCATGTTCCATCTCCATTTTTTCTACAATGTTACTAGTTCCTGATTGCAAAATTATGTAATTATGGCAAAAAAAATTTAAAGAACACACTTAAAAGGCTTCAGATAGGGTTAGCAATGGACAGAGAAAACTCCTTGCAAGTCTGAACACCTTGCCGTGCATCTCAGTGCAATACCGGCATTGACACACTGCGGAAGTGTCTCTGAAGGTCCACCCTTCGTAAAGCCTTCCAACTCCGGTCATGTGATCATGCAATTAATGGGAGGACAGTAAGTCAGATGTAAGCTGAGGTTTGAAAAGTCGCCTTCCTTCTTCTCTCTTGGACTCTGGCTACTGTAGGAATGTGCCAGGCTAGCCTTATGGGTGGGGTGAGAGAAACAGGGAGCACTGAGGTCTTCCAAGACTGGACAGCACCTGACTGAGGGCCAGTGGGCCTCGGCCCCATGAGAGGGTCCAGGTCGGCAGAATGGGTCAGTCCACAGACTCAGGTGGGACAGCAACTGCTGGCTCACTTGTGTGCATGCAGCAGGATGTGAAATGGCAACTGTTGTGTGTACATGAATATAACATATATTCTAACGATTCACCGTACTGACACGTGCACTGAAATAAGAATTCTTCAAATTCAGCTCTTAGTGAATGTACAAGAGACAATTTCCTGAATATAAGCATCCGGCTTATATGTTTTTATTTGTATAGCAGACCCTTCGTCTGGTTCCAAGAAGACCTCCATCAAGGGAAAGCTGCAAATGCTCTAGAACTACTCACATTTACCTTTGCTGTATGAATACGGGTCAGACGTACATAATCTGCCATTCCACGGAGCAGGCTGGATCATTGTCTCAAAAATTATTGTTGCATGCATGAATACTGCTCACCAAAAATGACATCTACTCCTTATCGCAAACACGCTGGGTGCTTGATTCAAGTTTTCCATAAACTCACCCAGTTTCTACTAAATCTTCACTGTATCACGTTAAGCACATCCACTTTTACCTTGCTTCAGGGCACCATTTGCTTTGGGGGAAGTATATTTTCACAAAACTTCAGTAAGGACAGGTAAACAGCAGGTCACAAAATGACTTAAATACCACTGATGGTAACACGGAACTGGCTGAGAGTTTCTCTGTACCCACTGAGCGGAACAACACATATATTAGGATCTGAAACTTCTGATTTTGCAATTTATTATTTGTAGGTATGCATGCATGGATGTACATATGCATGTATGTATGATGTACTACTGTGCTTGGTCAAAACCATATGTGATACACCTGTGAATAGGGCAGGCTTACTGTATTTTGTTTTAAAGCTTAAACTCTAATTGGGCATGATACATCATTTTTTCAGAAATACTTCAGTTACGATCCGAAGTCCTTTACCCCGAGGATGTCCTCCACGAGCAGCGTCTTCCTGGACTTGGCCACGTAAGCAGAGATGGTGGTGCCCTGGGTGATGGGTCCAGCCGGGATGAGCCGGGGCTGGCCCTCCTTCATCCCGGGTGGTGTGAACACACACAAACTCTAGGAGGAAGACGAGAGCGTGCTTTATGGGTGTCTTGTGCCGCAGCCCTGGACGGACACCGGAGCCCTGCCTGACAGCCATCCGCACGCGGACCCCCAGATGAGGCAGTGCTCCGGGCTGGGGAATCCACACAGAAAGGGGTTAACTGTGAGGACAAGGCAGTACAGGCACAGCAAGCTCAAGATGGACCCTAGCAGCCACCGTGCCAGCAGCCATGCTCCCTTCAGAGAGGACCAGCAGCCGCGAGCCAAGTGATCTAGTGTCGTCTGTCATTACAGTATTTGTTTCTCACACATCGTTTTTTATCCTCAACCACTCACTTGACCAGTTTTAGAACTATTTTTAAGAACATATATAAAATCGGCTTCCTGTTTGTTTCCCTAAAACCACTAGGTGGCACTAAAGAGTAAGAAAAGCTGAGATGTAGCCTAGGCAAGACCAGCCACTACCTTCACCTGAAGCTAACTTCACACTGTTCTTAAAAATACACCAGCCTGTACAGATTGTCAGTGCACCTGACACCTCACACAATCACTACAACAAACAGGCTATGCAAACGAAGCAATATTTCCAGGCAACTGTTTACGTTACACACACTGAAGACAAAGACGGTTTCTTCTGCTTGTCTAGTCTCTCCCAGCGTGTGCCCAAGCAAGGGAATTTTCTAACACATCTTCTTCACGGTTTGGGAGTCATGTGAAGGGGGAGATGAGTGTCCTTAAAAGAGGAAGTCTGTGAGGATAGACAGAGCGTGGCGGCCATGGTCGGAAAGCAGGAACTCTGGCCGGAGGGGAGCCTGCGGGATACCTAGGGAAGGCTGGGCTGGGAGCGAGGATGGGCACAGGCCACATGGGACACCCTGCAGCACAGGTGAGGAGTCTCCACACAGCTCGGCTCGGGATTGAGGATTTACAACCATGCAGCCATTCATGTTTACAAACAAACACTACTGAACTGACTTACTGATCAGTCCCACAACTTAGGCTTGTTAGTGACCTACTGTGAATTAATGTTTAAGAATTGGCACTCATAACATTATAACTTTTACAAACAAATTCTGGTTGACAGCCCAAGACAAAAATGATAACATGCGAAATGTTATTTTGAATGTGTGGCTAAGTGTAAATGAATAAAAAAGAACAAAGACACTAAAAAATGAATTAAGCAAAAATTCAGTCTCAGGAAACCATTTTTCCCAACAAACACCTCCAAAGCGCCTCGTCTATGTCAGTCACATGACAAAATATACTGCTCCTGACAAACCATTTCTTCCTCCCAGTGCCCATGGGCAAGGGGAGCCATCTCTCCAGACTCCTTGGCCAGTGCACCATGAGCTCCCTGTGATTCGCTGCTCACTGCTGCCAACTCTTTACTGAAGAGAATCTTTGCCTGCTGAGCAGCTTAGCATATTCCTCTGACACTAGCAGGTACTTCAAATACTTGTCGAATAAACAGCATTTATGATGCAACATTCGAGCCATGGAGGAGGGGAGATGAAGGTTTAGAAAGTTCGCCAGTCTTGCCCAAATCACAGTCATCAAGTGATGAATCAGAACCACAAGGTTTTTGAAGCTAACCTACTTCCTGGGGCATTTCCGTCCTTCTGGAAGCCTTCTCTGCCCTCTGGGACAGCCCCGGTGGGCAGTAGGTAGACGATGTGGGCACAGGACCGGGCTGCCTGCGGCCTCTCCCACCCAGCCCCGCTGGCGCTCAAAGGCAGTCTGCTCAGTAACCATCCCACTGCTCGGTCAACATTGTCTGCAGAGGTGATCACTAAACACTGTGTTCAGCCTGTTACTTGGAAACTAGATATTTTTCTATGGTTTACCCTACACAGCAATGTCTATATTCCTTGAAACTGTCCATCTTATCTATGTTCACATTTATTCGTAAAAACGTGCCCTTATAATTCCTCACATTTCCACTATGTCCCTCACAATCATCACACATATGTGATTATGTTTTCTCTCTTTGGATCGTTCCTTCTTTTAGCAAATAGTTTCTTTGTGTTGTCTTCAGATGCGCTTGTACATGCGGGCTCTCTCCCCAGGGAGTAGCACAGTCTCAGGAGGGCAGAGACTAAAGCCCTGCGGTGCTGCAGTACCTAGAACAAGCCTACATGAGCTGATGCCCAATATCCCAGTATCTTACATGATGAATAGATACACTTTAATATTTTAACTATTTATTTTACTACTTGTATTTACTGTTTAATCAAGACTAAAATCAGATGTCTCTGAACACTTTTTCTCCATTTCTATTAATATATTAAATAGCATCAACATAATATATTTAGATTACTCAAGGATAAAGCTATTATATTGTGCCAACATATCCCCAAATCTCAAGAACACTGCCTAACATTTAAGTAACACAAGTAAATGGCAAATATATTTATAAATACGCCTCATGCTCTGAATGGAAATGAATTGACGAAGACTATGCTGGGCTATCATCTGACTCCTTCTCAACTGCAGTGATGGAACGAACCGGAATGTTGTGTCAGAACAGGCCCGAAGTGCAGGGCTGGGAAGCCCACAGCTGGACATGGCGAGCCACGGACACTGACAGACGCTCCGGGATCTGAATCCAGCAAACCAATCCCAGAGCACTTACAGAGCTGTCTTCTACAACCACACAATCACACACTGCCAGCCTCTGCGTCTACTTTATTAAACTGTGTATGATGCCTGGAAATGGCCATAGGCTGTGTACAGCACGCCAGCCCAAAGTACTGAAACGCCAAACAACACAAACCTAGAACTGCAACCCACGATACAGGATACTACAAGCCAAAGCAAAAACAACACAGATTCCAAGACCTTCTCTGTAAATAGTGCTGTGCAATGCTTGACTGGTACTAATCATATATGGAAGCAAAATACAGGGACATGATTCAAGTAATAGAGCCTGTTGAGTGCAAAGGCCTGAGTATGAAAGAAAAACAAAATAACAACCCTAAGACGAGAAGGAAAAAGGGAGGAAAGCAAAGAGGAGGAAAGGAGGAGGAGGAGAGGAAAGGAAGAGGAAGAAATAAAAATAAGCTTAAAGTACTTATGTATGTCTATCATTTGGAATGCAGTAAGTATTGTCAAAGACCAATTATTGCTATTTCTTATCTGAGCACAGAAACTTGAGGAGAGATACTCACATTATTACATTCTCCAAGGAAATACAGCGCAAATCCATCAGCTTTTGTGGCTGCCAAAGTAATAAGAGAGGAAAAAACTGATCTCAGTGGAGGAATATAACATGTATAATTTCTTTAAGGTGAGAATCAGACAGGAGCCTTTTGAATAGATTTGCTCACATAATCAGTGGTCATTCAATAAGTAACAAGATAATCGATGGCCTTCCTCAGTTCCACACTGGAACACCCTTTACAGGCTTTCACCACGGTCCTCCGTACACATCAGCCAACACAGTGTCACAACACATCTGTCAACCTTCAAGCATGGAGAACTCATTTTTAATCAGGAAATTTTGTTTTTAAGTTTTATAGTATTAAAATACGCCTTATATAATGATCCTACTACTAACTAACTAAAGTAAGCACCAGTCAAGATGGGTAGCATGTGCTACCCAAGTAGTCATGGAAGAGAACAGAAGTTAACTCGTCTAGAACTGCTCAGGAGTTGAGTGCAGCAGCTCATACTTGCAGCCCAGCTACTTGTGACGTAGAAACTGGGGGAATCACAGCCCAAGCCAACTCCAGCAGAAAGCATGAGACGCTATCCAAAAATAAATAAAAAGGCAACATTGGGCTAGGGTCTGACTCAAGTGGTAGAGAGCCAGCATGCCATGTCTGAGGCCTTGAGCTCAAACCACAGTACTGCCAAACACACACACACACACACACACCATGCGCACACACACGAGCATGTACACACATGCACACACACGCGTACACACATGCACGCACATATGCATACATCTGCATACACACAAAAACCTTCAGGGTCATCTGAAGGTAAATACAATAGCAACAAACAACAGAGTTCTGGAAGGGTTTCCTAAATGTGAATCCCTACCTAAATCCTTTTTATCTATGTGTCTTTGGGTGACATACTGAGCCTCTACAGCTTCCTTACAAGTAAATGGTGACAGTCACAGAAACTAGCTTGTGAGTTCTTACATACCATACTTGTGGAAGGGCACAGAGTACAGTTAAGTAGGTACTAAAGAGAACCCCACATATGGTTAAGTAATACATTAGATATTACATATATCACTATTTTTATTGTTAAAGAAGGAACAAAAACTCAATTGTCATAGTAAGTATTCTGGGGGAAAAAAATCAAGTCCTAAAAATACATCTTTTCCAAAAAGTCCTTTTCTGATATAATTTTCCCACATTCTATTCAAAATATAAGCCCACCTTACCCAAATATGTTCATTTTCCCTAAAAGTAATGATTTCCTTTATAAAAGTGATTTACTTGAATAAAATAATGTTCAGTGAAAATTAAAGCCATAAGTATATTCTGTTTAGACATCAGGTTTGCGTTTTGGCACTTTAGGTGTGATCATTCCGGCAGCTTCATAATCAAACATGTCCTCTGCAGCGAATGACTTCTGCTGCCTCTCGGTGGGTTTGGGTTTGCCCGTGAGGCGGGAGCTGGGGCCGGCGGCTGCTGTGAGGCTGGAGCTGGTGCCGGCGGCCGGGCGGCCGGGCTGGGCTGCTGTGAGGCGCGTACCTATCTTGATGATGCTGCTGAGCTCGTACAGCAGAAGCTGGTTGTCCCCTCCTGTGTCCAGACGCTGCTCTATGTAGCTGTTCAACTCATACACCACTCCCTGCATATTCGTATCTTGGTACTTCGAATAGAAATAGCAGAAAGAAATGGCAGTTATCAACAAAATACAATTCCAATTCTAACTTCATATGCTAGCGATTCATTATGAGTTTATAGAGAATTAACTATTATATGTATTTATAAAACAAGTACACTGAAAATTAAAATCGCTTTATTTAGATTACTCTATGAACTGTATATGCCAGTTATCCATACTGAAATAGCCAAGACTGCCTATTATAACTTTGCTTCTGAAGTTTTATAATAATGGCAACTTGGTTGAGAAATGGATACAGACTTCCTGAGGCTGCTCTTCTGCCATGCTAGAGAGCCCGAGGCACCGGCGGCACCCAGCTCCCCTGCCCGGCCTCTCTGTGTGACCCCGGGACAGGACGGAGGGGTCTGCCAGCAGCTCACCACAGGCAGCCACACACCAGAGCTCGCTGGGCACCGGTGCCTACGCCGATGGCCCGGGCTTCCTGAGCACACGCCATGCTGCCTTCTCGACAGTGAAAGACACATCCGCATCCTGCCACCTAGTGTGCCCTGGTAACCTCACCCGAAAAAGAAAATTCTGGTGCCCTGAGCTCAGGGGCCTAGGGTTTCCTGCTCCACCAGGAGGGCGTCCACACCGGGAGAGCAGCCAGGGGACTCTGGCTTCACCTCCCCCCCCCCCCACACGCATGTGCGCACACACACATGCACCCTCCGCACACGCATGCGCGCACACACCCACACCCCGCATACAGACACACACACCCCTCCCCCCGCTTACACACACACATGCACGCACACCCCCCCATAGACACACGCACCCACACCCCTCCCCCCGCATAGACACACACGCACCCACACCCCTCCCCCCGCATAGACACACACATGCCCCCCCTGCAGACACACACACACGCACCCTCCGAGCACGCATGCACACACACACCCCTCCCCCCGCATACAGACACACACATACCCCCCTGCATATACACACACACACACACACACATGAACGCACCCTGAGCACACATGCATGCACACACCCACGCCCCTCCCCCCATACACACACGCACCCTCCGCACACGCATGCGCACACTCACACCCACGCCCCTTCCCCCCAATACACACACACAGACACACACACACACTGTGTTTGGGAACATTCTGGCTGTCTGAAGGCCCCGGCTCGTACACCCAGCACATGCTCCCCAGCCACACACTCAATCTCCACGCCGCGTGCCGCACACCTACAGTGGCCACGGGGCCACAGCCAGCCCAGCAGCTCCCGTGCCACTGGAGAGCAGAAAGTCCAACGCCATGCCTCCTCTGCATTCAGTGCGCCAGCACAGGCTTTTCTAGAAGCTGCCCCCAAAGCGGCCTCTGCTGGAGGAAGCCGGGCTGCTCCAACTTCCCGGGCGCGCCCACCAGTGGCTGCAGAGCCCGCGTGCGCACCAGGGCCGGCCAGGGCACACAGAGACGCTGAGGTGTGGGTGACCTTGCTCCCTGAACTCATACAGAAGATGGGTGAGCAGGGTCAGCCTCAGGAACTGCGCCATCCTGGGGCAGAGCAGAAGAAGCCAAGCACGTGTTGTCTGCTTTCTTTGTGTTTGCTCACTTGTATGACCAGAAAGTTCTGGCTTAAGTGAACAAAACCCAATCTCACCAGTTACAGAGAAAGTGAGACCTGCAGGGGTCCCCAGGCTTGAACCAATTCACAGGGAGACCAGGTTCCCTTACAGGGACAGGACCCTGACAGACATCTGTAGACTTGCTGCACCTGGCCCACAGCCCCGCTGCTTATGTGGTGCTGAGGAATCGAACCCAGGGCTTCATGCATGCAAGGCAAGCGAGTTTTGTGACTTTTAACTGACAAAATTTATCTCAGCAACAGCCCAAAGCCTCCCAGGCACTTCCGGTCACGTCTAGTGGTCACCGAGGTGGCAGCGTCCTGTCACAAACACCTGCGACTCAGGCCTACAAAAGGTAAGGACGCCGGCAGAGCCCAGAGGAGGCAGCATCAGCCATCACCCAGAGTCCGCTCAGAGACGTTTCATGTGTTAGGACTCCAGCTCTTCCGCTCCATGCCCAAGCCCTCAGCCCCCACCCAGCGCAGAGGCCCGGGAAAGCGGTTATCTGAGAATGACCAGGGGAATGCAGAGCCAAAGACAGAGACCAAGGAGAGCCCGAAAGCCACCGTACAACCAAGGTGCTCCTTCCCAGCACCGCGTTGTCCCGTCGGGGGAGAGTCTGGCTGACTCTAAGGAGGGTTGCAAGGGCACACTGGTAACGGGGCCTTCCATGAACGCAGGCGGCCGCCTCTGCCCTCACTGTCAGAAAAGCCCCTTTAGTCAGGGCTTGTGTGCAGCTGCCTTCCATCTCTTTTGTACAGGAAATGGGGTGTCACAAGGAACGGAGAGGAACAAGATGTTCTGGGATGGGAGCAGTTTATCATGAGATTTCCTTTCCCATCTCTGAGCTTTCATTCTTCTCATTTGTATGAAAAGAAGCGTGAATTACACAGTCTTCAATACACTTTCAACACTTCATCTGTGATGACCTAAGACCTAGGCTTTCAGTTTTTCTTGTTCATTTTAAGCTTTTGAATTCTGACCTTTAACCTGATACAATACATTGGTACATTTTGTTTCCTTTGGTTACTGATAATTGCCTAATTACTTTAACAGTCAACTGTCTTATTAGGATCAATATTCTAGTGCTATCATATTAACGCAGATATTAACAGCCAGTCTACACAAGCAGAAGCTCCATGCCTCTCCCCAGGATGGTGTGACTGGGGGGGGGGGGGGGAGCTGGGGCGGCGCCGCGGCCTCTGAGTAGGGACCCCACTCTAAGACGCTCTTTGGAAACTACATGATAAAGAAGGCCTGTGAGGAGATCAACTCCATGCCTTGACCAATAAAATATGTCAGCGCAACATTATTGCTTTGTTTTTGTCAGTCCTGGGGCTGGGCACTAACCCTGAGATTTTGTGCTCAAGGCTGGTGCTCTACCTACCACTTGACCCACAGCTTCATTTCTAGCTTTTTGTGGTTAATTGGGGATAAGAATCCCTCAGACTTTTCTGTGCAGGCTGGCTTCCAATCACGATCCTCAGATCTCAGCCTCCTGAGTAGCAGCCAGGATTACAGGCATGAGCTACCAGTGCCCGACTCAGAATATTATTACAGCTGTTATGTACTTGTATAGCACTTTTACCTCACATATTTCTTTCCCATCCTTTATTCTAAGAACCTATGTAAAGCTTACATTAAGGATCACTGCATATTTGTAATTCACCGTGAATTCATATTCTGTTCCGCACTAATTCCATGTGTGTTTTTTAGAGCAACCACTGAAAGCACAGCTTCACAATAATATGCCACCAGTGGCCAGCAGTGACTCAACACAAAACCTGAACCATATCAGAAACTCAATTATGTCCAGCTCTGTCTGCCAGATGTTACTTTGCTTCCCATGGAATTGTAATGCTTCCCGACCCACCCCTGAACAGGGGCTTGGAGCACTGTCTGAGAACCAGAGGAGAAATGGCTCTCCTGTCAGGGGCTGGGGGTGGGGGAGGGGGAGGGGGCAGGCGGGAGCGCAGAATGAGAACCAGAGAAATGGCTCTCCTGTCAGGGGCTGGGGGAGGGGGAGGGGGCAGGTGGGAGCGCAGAATGAGAACCAGAGGAGAACTGACTCTCCTGTCACGGGCTGGGCTGGGGGCAGGGGGGGGGGGGAAGGGGGGACTTGATGTCTGGTGAAAGAAAGTGAAGAGACAGTGTCTTTCATTCCTGTCTCCCTACCCCGGTCAAGATCACATAAGGCGCAGTCCAGCTCTTTTCGATTCTGTCGGTGAGGAGTGTCTCCTTGGCCCTTCTTTGTGTGTCTTGAATCTGATACCTTTGATGAATGCAGGTAAGGTGAATTTGTTTGGTGTTTTCTCTCCGTTTCTGGCAGTAGTACAGCGAACTGGTGGAGTGAGGATCCTGCCGTTCCTTCTGTCTATAAACTGTAGCACGCTCTAGGGAAGAAAAGCTTCCTGTGTCCCTCCCTCGGTTCATTCATAGGAATCTAAAACCGGTTTGCTATTGTGCTAGGAATTAGCACTGCCCTCTAGCCTGACGCTCAGATCGGCCAAGCCTGGCCAGCAGGGGTCCCTTCAGTGTTCTCCTTCTTCGCAGTTTGTTTGTTTGATCAGTGCTAGGATTTGAACTCCGGGCTTTCAAACTTGCTTGATTTTCTTGTACTGATATTCTAAAACCTGAGTCATGCTTCCCACCTGGATTTTTGCTGGTTAGTTTGGAGATGGAGTCCCTTACATGTTTCTGTTTAGACTGACCTCAAGCCGTGCTCCTCCAGGTCTTGGCCTCCTGCGTAGCTAGGATGACAGCCTGCAGCACCCAGACTTTCACATGGTTTCTCCAAACTTCTGAGCCGTAGACCTGAAGAACATGTTTAATGTTCTTCCATAAAATGGGGAGTATGTCCTCTGGCCTGGTTACTTCCAAGAGAAGGGGAGAGGAGTTGCTTCCCCAACCCGTGTGTGCGTGTGTGTGTGCGTGCGTGTGTGTGTGTGCATGCGCGCATGTGTGTGCATGTGTATAGTACAGGGAATGGCCTATACTTGGCAGGTGAGTACTATACTATGGAGTGACAGCCGCACAAGCGGTTAAGAGTTTCAGGATTTTTTTTTTCGGTCAGTCATGGGGCTTGAACTCTGGGCCTGGGCGCTGTCTCTCAGCTCTTCAGCTCAAGACGAGCATTCTACCACTTGAGCTCCTTCCAGTTTTCTGGTGGAAATGGAGATAAGAGTCTCACAGACTTTCCCGCTGTGGCTGGCTTTGAACTGTGATCCTCAGATCTCAGCCTCCTGAGTAGCTAGGATGACAGGCGTGAGCCACCGGCACCTGGCAGTTTCAGGACTTTTTAAAGAAGCATTTACAAAGGACCAGGGCATCCTGTGCGCTGCCCCAGGCCCTACTGCCACACCTCTGAGGATCAGAGACTGGCTTAGCTGTCCAGCATGACTGC